CATGGGGCTTCCTGCTCCCTTGCAGGTGGCACTCTTGGCGCACATCTCTTGGGGTGTGCGCTGCCTGTTAGGTCTGGCAGCTTAAAATCGAAAGCTGTCCACCCTAAGAAGTACTCCGTACGGGTCAGGAGTGTGAAAGGCCACGGGTTCAGAGGTTTGGAGAAAGAGCTGACACACAAATTAATACACAAATGTTAATTTGATTATGGGGGGACGCCAGGGAAAAGCTGCTTTTATTTACTAGAATACACACTTGCCTTTTAGGAATGCAAACAGACATCTCAATGGTAATGTTTATAGTGAACAGTGAGATTATCAGGTTTGGGGGAGTTTGCTTTAGGCCCATTCTTGGCAAACCGGCTCTTGAGCCACACTTGGCTCTTTGGCCCCTTGAGTGTGGCTCTCCCACAAAATACGACCTGGGTGAGTCTATTTTGAAGAAGTGGTGTTAGAAAAAGTTTAAGTTTAAAAAGTTGGCTCTCAAAAGAAATTTTAGTCTTGTACTGTTGATATTTGGCTCTGTTGACTAATGAGTTTGCCGACAACTGCTTTAGGCCATTGAGTCAGCAGTAATAATGCAATAAAATGCAAACATTCACCCTGTGAATATCAGAGGGGAGCCCAAACCCAGCCTTCTGTGGACTCCTTGCATTTATATTAACGACTGTTGGTCTTGGCTTCCAGCACAGGAGAGACTTGTCCCCTGAGTGCTGCCTGCTGGGCTGGGCAGCCTGGAGAGTCCTGGGGGCCCAGAGCCCCGCACAGCCCCAGCCCCTTTCCCAGCCTCCCTCCTGCAGCCAGGCCACTCCCTGGGACCTGCCTGTGACAAGGTCAGGCCAGGGACCAGGCGTTAGAGGAACGAAGGGAGTGGCCCAGAAGAGGTGGGAAAATGAGGACAGAGAAGCCTGGGCAGGGCCCCCCTTTGTCACATCATTTGCAAAATGTTAACTTCCAGTTCTTTCCAGGATTTTCTGATGCCATTAAACGTGTGCAGGCCATTTCCCCTTGCTGTCTCCATACTCTTCAGAGGCTGTCGGGTCTCAGGGCCTTCGGCCCGGATACAAATAGGAAGGCTCTCATGTCACATGTGGGCTTTAATTAGCAGTGATGTAAAGGAGACTGGAAGCTGCATTCTGAAAACTCAGCTCCGTGTTTAGCTTTCAGTAGAAATGCTTGCAGCTCAGATAGGCTCCGGAGAGGCTGGCACTGGCTCCGACCTGCTGGCTGCAGTGAGCTGTCCGAGCCGGCCGCCTGCTCAGCGGACTCTGTGTTTTGTTTCCGCCAGGGGTGAGTGAGTGCCTTCCGACTCAGGGATTGCTAACTCAGAAGAAAACGACCTTCCTAAAAACTTAAAGCATAGGCTAAGTGACTTCATTCCACAGAGTTAGAGCTGAGGTCAAAGGGTTCCATGTGTTTCCCTTGGTCCTGGGCTGTGCAGACCCAGGGCCCAGCAGCTCTGCGCCAGCCACGGCCTGCCTTATGCAAATGCTAGTCCCTGAGAACGTAACAGGGGACTCGTGCTCTTATGGAGCAAACCGGCCTGAGCAGGGAGAAGAAGCAAGGCCCTCTGATCAGCACCCTGTGCCATGGTGCTGCTGAGGCTGGCCGTGGGCATCAGTGGGCTCTCCGTCGTTCGGGCCTGAGCCTGCTGTCGGGCCCCCACGCCTCTGCTGCTGTTCCTCCAGCGACTTCCTTGTGGGACTTTATCACACGTGTAGCTGTTTTACCAAAATGTGCCCCTGTGTCTGTTACTCGGCTGTGTCTCCCGTTGTCAGCTGTGCGATTGTAGCCTCTTCCTCACTGCTGCAGTCCCATCGTGGCCAGGCACTTCGTTCCAGAGATAAGGAGCTACATTCTTTTTAAGCTGAGGCCTACGCCGACCTGGGGACGGGTGAGGCTCAGCTTAGTCTGTGTCTCATGGAAACACGTGATTGTAGCATGTTCTGAACCTCTGATAGCTGCTGAAAACATGGTTTGTTATGAATCAGAAGGGACCCAGTCTGCTTCTCCAGGTGGATGACAATGGGAGAATGTATTCATGTAACTTTTAAAATAAAGGCTGGAGGTTCATGTTCCTGTGTCCTCACCAGGCCCAGTGACTGAGCCGCGGCCAGACCTGCTGTGCCCTAGGCCAGGGCTGGGATGTGAGCCCGGTGGCAGGGTTTCTTCCCTTGGAGCTGGTGCCTGGTGCCTCCGCATCAAGTCCTGGTCTGTAAACTAAACGCCATCACTGGCCGGTGCCAGGGATTCTGTGAGCCAGTCCTGGGAACTGTCAGCCACTTGGTGCTGTCAGCTGTAGGGAACGGGTCGGAATTGGTTAGCCTGGGTCAGTGATGGTCACAATGCAGTCTGTAAAATATTTTAAAATGTCTTCGTGAAAGATCACTTTGGGAATGAAGTTAGAAGTTTGGGTTTTGTTAGTGAATAACTAAAAGGGACTAAGATAAAAGGAGTCAACTATCCCAAGGATGGAGGGCAATGGGGCATCAGTCCTGTGCAGCAGGCCCTGGTTGCCTAGGGAGTCGCAAGTAAACATCCTCTGTCAGCGCCCTGCTGCTGGGTGTGGCTCGGTGCCACCAGGAGCTGAGTGGGAGGAGCCCATCCGCTGGCTCCTGGTGACCGAGCCTCCTGGGACCTGTTCTGAGCCACACGGAAGGGTGGGGTCGAGTAGACAGGGAGCGAGGCCTCTGAAAGGTACCGAGCAGCTCCCTGGGTGAAGTCATGTCTCACAGGTGTCAGGGAGGGTTCAGCTGTATTACTAGGGCCAGGGAAGAGAGACTCATGCGTATTGAATGTGTGTTCTGTTGGGCTGGTGGGCTAGGTCCCAGAAGGAACCAAGCAATGTTGGAATGTTAGTTAAAATGCAGGAGTTTTGTAGTATTTGTTGAAATTAGTAGGAATAGTAAAATTTTTATGTATAAACACTGGCCTTTATTTCTATAGGTACTTTATTTTCTAAAGAATATTTAGATTGTTTCACAGAAACTGGTGTGAATTGAAGTACATTTGTCTTAGCTTATACAAGTCAGTCATTTTACTTTTAAAATTCAATTTATTTAAACTAATAAAAACTCCAGACAGTTCACCCATTTTCCCACTTCCCATCTCTGGCAACCACCATTCTGTTCTGTAATATTTTTGTTTATTTATTTAACATTTCAAAAAATCAATTTTCTGTAAGAAAGATCGTTTGGTATGTCTTTCTGTCTGAGGTCACTTAGCAGAGTTCCGAGGAGCCGGTGGTGCTGTCGATCTCACTCCACTGTGTACACGCCCCTCTGCTGCTCGCTCGCTCATTGCTGATGGGCACTTGGCTGCGTCCAGGTCTTGGCTGTTGTAAATGCTGCTGCAGTGAACGTGGGTACGCAGTCTCTTTGAGTGAGTGGTTTCGTTTCCTTTGGATAAAAACCCAGAATTGTTAGTGCCGTGGCAGCTCTAGTTGTGATTATTTGAGGCGTTTCCCTGTCGCTTTCACGGTGGCTGCAGTTACATCCCACGAGCAGTGCAGGTGAGTTTCCTCTCCTCCGGGCTCGTCGACCACAGCCTGCCTGCAGGTGTGAGTGGCATCTCCCTGCGCTGCCGGCTCCTGCCCCGAGGACTGTGCGCACCTGGCCCCGTGCTGGTCGCCACCCCTGCTCCTTGGGGAACATGTCTCCTTGGGTCCTCTGCCCACTTTTCATTTGGATTGTTTGTTTTGCTGCTGAATTGTATGAGTTCTTTATGTATTTTGGATACTTACCCCTTATCAGTTATGTGACTTGTTAGATGGTTTCTCCCATTTGGTTGGTTACCTTTTCATTTTGTTGATAGAAGCTTTTTCATTTGATGTGGTCCCACCTGCTTGCCTTTGCTTTTGGAGTTATACCCAGTCTGTGCCAGCAGCTTATTGCACCAGTAGGTTTTCTCTCACGGTTTCAGGTCGTGCCTTCAGGTCTTCATGTTCAGTGTCAGACAGCAGTCCCGCGTCCCTGTTTGGCACAAGACGGCCCAGTCTTCCCAGCAGGTTTCCTGGAGAGACCGCCCTCTCCCCACTGCGCGTTCTCTCCTGTGACGTAATCGGTCCTGTGTGCGAGCTCTATTCCATTCCTCTGTGCGTCTGTTTTTATGCCGGTGCCATACTGTTTTGATTACTGTAGCTTTTTTATATAGTTGGAAATCAGGGGGCATAATGCCTCCAGCTTTGTTCTTTCTCAAGACTGCTCTGGCTATTTGGGGTTTTTGGTGGTTTCATACAAATTTTTGGATTGTTCTATTTCTGTAGAAATCAGTCATTTATATATAAATATCTTTTTTGTCCAGGATGGTTTTTATTTTTACTTTTATCTTCCTTTAGTTTATTCAGCAACAGATTGTGATTCACATTACTACTATGAGCATTAAAAAAAAAGTTGGAGCAACTGTGTGTGTGTGTGGTGGGGGGGATCTGGGGAATAGACAGAGGAAAGGTTGAATCATTCCAAAGAAATCTAGGTGACAACCTGAAAAACAATGTGTTCAACTCAACACTTTTTAATTTGAAAATAATGTTTTCTTTTGGGGGAAAATAAAGTACAAACTATGCCTAAAGCTGCTTTGTTGTCCCGCAGCTTCTGGCTCTGGAACTTTGCTGTCTAGGGGCGCACAGGGGTGCTTCTTGACTGTGCAATAGAGTCTACTTAATTAACAGCAACGAACAGTTATTTCAGAAGCCTGAGGACACATGACCCCTCGGGGAATTTAAAAATAGCTGTGAAATGGGTCCTGGGTCTTTGGAAAGTGCCCCAGTTTCCATAATTACAAGTCAGTCGATGTGGGTCTCCCTGGGTGCATGAGGGATCCGTCTTTAGGGACTGAACATAGCACAGTGCTCCTGCACTCTCTGTAATTATGAGAAACCTCTCCTTTGTCTTAGAAATAAGAAACAGAATTGCCCGCTAGCGTGCTTCATTGGTCAGTAGACGTGGCGGCAGGCCCTCTGTGTGCTCTCACCTAACCTGACTTGCTTTTTCCACCTTCTGCAGTATGAGTTGAGACCGTGAACATGGACTTTTCTCGGCTCCACATATACACGCCGCCTCAGTGTGTGCCCGAGAACACTGGCTACACATATGCACTCAGGTGAGCATGTGTGTCTTGTCACTCCTTAACTGCTATTGAATTAACGGGGCCTCTGCGGGGCTGAAACGTTATGTTTAGAAAGAGAAAGTATCTATAAACTTGGCTACACTATTTTTTTATGAAATTACCTAACTGACGCGGACATTGTGAGGGTGTTTTAAAAACGATGTGTTGCTGATGACTCAATGATGAGTCATTGCACATGAAATGCTGCTTAACTCCACCCAGAGGGCTGTTCCCGGGACTGAATCTCAGTGGTTATATCAGGGCCGTGTGACTTACATTATTACATTAACGTCTGGTCTCTTATCCAGCAACTCTCCTGGGAGGACTGCCTCTGAGAGAGGAGGAACCCCAGAGGGTGGGGCGGGGCAGCCAGGGCCGGAGCCCCCTCCCCAAGTCAGTGCTCTGCTCTTGCGCTGCTCTGACCCCAGTCTGCACTTAGAAGGTGCTGACTTGCCGAAACCGGTTTGGCTTAGTGGATAGAGCGTTGGTCTGCGGATTGAAGGGTCCCGGGTTCGATTCCGGTCAAGGGCATGTACGTTGGTTGCGGGCACATCCCCGGTGGGGGGGGTGCAAGAGGCAACTGGTTGATGTTTCTCTCTCGTCGACATTTCTAGCTCTCTAGCTCTCTCCCTTCCTCTCTGTAAAAAATCAATAAAATATATTTAAAAAAGAAAAAGAAAAAGAAGGTACTGACTTGTCCTTTGCTTGTCCAGTATATCAAACAGAAGGGATGATTGACGGGACACTTAAGTATGTGCCGAAGGACGGTCACTGGATGGTTAGGATTTGGTTGGCAGTTAAAGAGCCTTGCACCTTGGCAGGGCTTGTGCACAGGAAATGGCTCTTCTAAGACGAAGGGTGATGAGAGCTTTCAGGACATGGGAGGGTGTTTTAAGGACAGTGCTTTTTAAGGGCATTAGTCAAATCTCACATTTAATGATTGTGTTTCTATTCACACTTTCCATAGTAACATACTCTTTATTTTGTTTGTTAAAAGTCCTGTAGTATTGCCCTAGTCTGTTTGGCTCAGTGGATAGAGTGTCGGCCTGCGAACTGAAGGGTCCCAGGTTCAATTCTGATCAAGGACACATGCCCGGGCTGGGGGCTCGATCCCCAGTGGGGGACTTGCAGAGGCAGCCGATCCATGATTCTCTCTCATCATTGATGTTTCTATCTCTTCTTCCTTCCTCTCTGAGATCAATAAAAATATATATATTTTAAAAGTCCCGTAGCCTTTTTTTTATACTCTGGTTTCTCTTCAGACCGCATAAATCTTTCGCCTTTTAATCTTTCGCCTTCTAAAAGTCCTGTAGTCTTTTATAAGAAATTGAGTGGGCCAGCTCAAGTAAACTATTCCTTATTCTATATTGTGGAGCATAATTATTATTCTTGCTAATTTATTTTTAGCTTTTATATCCTATTTTAAACAGATTTTAAAAGATGCTGTGTCTGGGTCTCTGTGTGGGGACAGCGGCACTGTGAATTCAGTAACTGGCAGTCTTCCCTGAGGTGCAGGTGGGTGGTGAGGGTGGCTGAGCCTTAAGGACGAAGGATGGTCGGGTGGTTCTGCAGGCTGTGCTGGGTCTTCATCGAGGGCAGTGGAGGCCAGTGGAGGGTTTAATGAGGAGCAGGGTGCCCGGGTCTGTGCGGGAGGACACGAGGCTGCCGTGGGGAGGGGTTCCCAGAAGTTGTCCTCTTAGCCTTGCCCTCCAGACCCTCCTTGTCCTGCTCCCCCACCCGTGGCTGATGCTCTGACCACTCTCCTGGTTGGTGGGCTGTTGTCCGAGCTCCTGGTGCCCAACGCCAGCTTCATGCTGCGCAGTCTCCGTGGGCACCAGAAGGCTCCTTCCCATCCTGGCCTCTCTGCATTGCATGGTAGCGTTTTCCTGCTGGGAAACTGCCCTGCCCTGCCTCTGCCTGGCACCAGCAGCCTCACCCCTGGGCTCCTCTTCTCGCCCCGGTGCGTTGTCTTGGAGCAGGTCTCTGAAGGGGGAGACTCAAGCATAGCTCTGCAGAGCCCTGGCCAGTAAACCACTCCCAGCAGCTCCCATAAGTTCGGCACCCAGTCAGTGCACCATCTTCCCAGGCCGTTGTCTTTTTATTAACAACTATTTTTAAAAATATATATTTTATTGATTTCTTACAGAGAAGAAGAGAGAGGGACAGAGAGTTAGAAACGTCGATGAGAGAGAATCATCGACCAGCTGCCTCTTGCACACCCCCACTGGGGATGTGCCCGCAACCAAGGTACATGCCCTTGACCGAATCGGACCCGGGACCTTTCAGTCCTCAGGCCGATGCTCTATCCACTGAGCCAGATCGGTTTCGGCTTAACAACTATTTTTAAAGTCGACCTGCACAGGACTCTCCGTCTGCTGGGTGACGTGTCTGCAGGGTGAATCTGCATCCGGGAGCTGCAGTTAGCTGGCGAGATTTGGTCGGCCCCAGGTTTCCGTGGTTTGTGGCAGGACTGCAAGGCAGGTGGTGCTTCCTGCTGCGCTCTGAGCGGGTTGCATGGGGTCTGTCTCCCCTTGGGTGGGAGCTTGGTCAGTATCCACTTGCCCCATTCACTGAACTCCCATCGCTGCTGTGGTGGTGGGCGTGGCAGCACTGGGGAGCTTTGTCAGGCCTCCTGTCCTGTGGTGGGCACCCTGCTGGGTGCAGGCCTGGCTGGGAGGAGCTGCCTTTCAATCTGGGGAAAGTTGGCCTTCTACCCCTGATCTTAACCCCAAGAGACCGAGAAGTGAAGGGGGTTGAGGTAGCGAACAGGTTGGCTGATAAGGGAAGAGAAGGGCATGCTGTGATTCCTTACTTAACTTACCACAGGGGAGGGGGGTAGTGTGTCTAGATGTGGACAGTAAGGAGCCGTAGAGAGGCTGTTGTCAGAGAGAAGAGGTGCCTGACAGAGAGGCCCAGGAAGTGGAGGCGCAGCACGATGGGTTCTGGGGTTCCCTGCCCTGCAGATGGCAGTGTGACTGCGATCCTTCCTGCTCTCCCAGGGGAGGAGGAAGAGGGCCTTGGGGACTAGAGAGCCGTGGTGGAGGCAGGGGAGGTGGACTGGAAGTGAGGAGGGGACAGTGTTAGCAATGCTGTCAGCACCTGGGCCAGGTGGCCCACACAGGTTGCCAGGCAGGAGCGAGGACCTGTAGGGTGGGGAGAGAGGGACCCCTGGTCCTTGCAGCAGCCGAGAACTGAACAGAGAGAGCTGGGAGAGAAGGCCAGGCCCTGGGACAGTGGGCCACAGGGCGGGTGTTGCAGCCCGAGGCCGCTGATCATGGGATTGAAGGCCTCTGAGGCTGCAGGACATTGTGGGGAAGGTCCAGAGAGATGGGGGACAAAGGGTCAGGGTGGGAGGATCAGCTTAGGGGTAGATATTCAGAAAGCACAGCGCTGAGCATGAGTGTGGGGTCAGAGTCTTCAGCTTGTCACTGCACATGAAGTTTCAGTCGCACTGTACTCGCGCACCCGAACGTGGTATTTTGTGGAAGGGCCACACTCAAGGGGCCAAAGAGCCACATGTGGCTCCCGAGCTGCAGTTTGCTGACCACTGGTCTAGCCTAGCAGCTGCTTCCTCCTGTCCAGCTGCGGGTCATTCGTGACTGGGATTCCCACTAGGGAGGGCCACTGACACTGCTGCTTCATCAGGTGTGGGCAACAGGATCGTCCGAAGGTGGGATTCTTGTGAGACCTCAGGTCTGCTCTGACTAAACAGCAGGCACTGGGGCTGGTTTCCCGCACCGGTTGGGCGCAGCTGGCCTGCCTTGTAGAAAAGTGGTCACCATGCCGAAACCGGTTTGGCTCAGCGGTAGAGCGTCGGTCTGCGGACTGAGGGGTCCTGGGTTCGATTCCGATCAGGGGCATGTACATGGGCTGCGGACACATCCCCAGAATGTGCAGGAGGCGGCTGGTCGATGTTTCTCTCTCATCGACGTTTCTGGCTCTCTATCTCTCTCCCTTCCTCTCTGTAGAAAATCAATAAAATATATTAAAAAAAGAAAAAAAAGAAAAGTGGTCACCATGGTCCCGGTGTTCTAAAAAGGCACCGTAGGTCCCACTCCTCTGTCCTGTTTGTGTTTTTAAAGCAGTGCTGTGAGCATGCTTCTCTGACACGCTTCTCTCCTTCCAGTTCCAGTTACTCTTCCGATGCCCTGGATTTCGAGACTGAGCACAGATTGGACCCCGTGTTTGATTCTCCAAGAATGTCCCGGCGTAGCTTGCGCCTGGCTGCCACTGCGTGCGGCCCTGAAGGGGGCCAGGCGGGGGACACCGCCTCCTGCCTCAGCGGCATGGCCTCCCTGAAGGACAGAACGGCCAGGTGAGCCCCGCGCCTTTGTGCTCACACACGAGCTAACACCACAGCCAGAGCACACACGCGTGGCCTGTAAGACCACCTCTAGAATTTGAGGACGGGCGTGCACCCAGACCCACAGTGGTCTCGTGGCTGTGCTTAAATAAGGGCTGTCTGCGTTGGTGTGCTGAGGATAAGATCCCCAGGTCTGCAAGCCTGGGGAAGGTGTGGGTGCCCATCACATGGACACATGCCACCAGAGGCTGTTCGGGGCAGGGCCAATGCAGCCAGTCTGTTACTAAAACCGTGTGCAGTGCAGACTGCCTGTGCCAGAGGAGCACAGTGGGCGAGCTTGGTGTGCATTCGAGACATGGAGGGCCTGCAGTCTCCTGTGGGCCACGTGAGGGACAGGTTCCCTGCAGGCTCTTCTGTCGGGAGCCGGGAAGGGGCTGTCAGCAGGGATACTGCTGGCCTAGCGGGACTGGATGCTCCGGTCGGAGTCTTCTCGAGTTTAGAGACAGAGTTTGCACCTCCCTCCCCCTGGAGACTCGGCAAGAGACCGACAGCTGTGGTGGTTACAGCTTGGTGCGTGGTGTGGGCACACCATGGCGACCAGGTGTCCTGAGGCCATGCGCACGCCCTCTGCGCCCACTGCCTGCTCCCACCCAGCACTGCTCCTTCAAGGGGCTTCTGCTCCTGGTCTTAGCGATAGCGTTAGTGTTCAAAGCCTTCATCTTTGCTCACTGGGAATGCTTGCAGACTTAACGTCTTTCCTGGTGACTGAGAAGTAGAATGGGTGTGCGAGTGTACGGTCACTTGGTGTAAAAGGGGAGGGAATAGACTTAGAAATCGTATGCGCTTTTATGTTCATCCTTAGGCTGCTTTTAACCAGGCTATTTTAATTCTAACCACTGCAGTTTTAGAAGGAGCTCTTGGACCCCAGCTTAGGACTCCCTTTTCCAGATGAGTGGGTGCTTGATTACAGCAGAGAGATGTACAGAGATGCTGCCTTAAAAACGCTATGTTTAGCCCAGCCAATGTGGCTCAGTGGTTGCACACGGACCCATGAACCAGGTCACGGTTCCATTCCCAGTCATGGCACAGGCCTGGGTTGCGGGCTAGATCCTCCGAGTGGGGTGTGCAGGAGGCAGCCAATTGATGATTCTCATCATTGATGTTTCTGTCTCTCTCTTCCTTTCCCTTCCTCTCTGAAATCAATAAAAATATATTTTAAAGAAAAATTTTAATGCTGTAGTTCTCAAAGGTTTTGTGTGTATAAAATACAATCATTTTGTATTTACAAGAAAAAGTCTATGAACTTGTTCCTTATTTCTTTTTTTTTTTAGAACAGCAAAACAGCACAGAAGTGCGAGCAAACTGGCTTTTAGTGTAAACCGGCCCTCGAGGCAGGTTGCTGCTGGCCAGAGCGGCGGTCTGCAGGGCGCAGCCTGTCTACGGCCGCCCGTGCTGGACGAGTCTCTGATCCGAGAGCAGACCAAAGTGGACCACTTCTGGGGTGAGTTGTCTTCGGTGTGGTTATTGCTCAGATTGTTCAGGAAGGAGGGAGGTCATGGCCAGTGGAGCCCCGTAAGATCAGGGTTTTTGCTCAGGCTCACAGAGCCCACGCAGGACGCTGCATAGAATGCGTCACTGTCTGCTGGTCAGGTGGCAGGCAGAGAGCTGCTGGTCAACCGCGTCACTTGTGGGCAGTGAGCTCAGGCTCCCGGCCTCAGCAGTGTTTGTGAGCCATTGGACAGCACCAGGGTGGACACAGGGACTGAGCTGATTTGATTGAAGGCAGCCATAGGGCAACCCCACTCATGCAAGGAATGGCATGCTGTGGGCGGCAGCTTTGATGGGCGCAGAGCCGTGCTGTGTCCCCTCGTGTCCTGCTGGCCTCAGCAACGGAAGCCCCGGGCTATGTGCCGCTCTAGGGAACAAGGCAGCGAGCGGGGGGTGGAGGCTGGCGTGTCTGAGAAACGGCTGGTCCCGCAAACCTTGCCTGCATGCTGCATCCTTAGCACGGGCAGTGTGCGCGTGTGGGTGCATGTATGCATTTTCGTCATTGTCCTTCCACCTTGTCAAAAGAGGGTGTGTGTATTGGAGAAATTACCATGAATGTTAGGCGTTTTAGGAAGTAAATATTGACCAGCGCCATAACGCTAAGTCGTTAACCATTGTAACCTTTACTTTTTTGAGTGGGCTTTGCTCTGTTTTGATCATTTGAGCTCAATTGCAAAAATATGTGTGTGTTTTAGGTCTTGATGATGACGGAGATCTTAAAGGTAATGACTCAGTCCTTTTTCTGCACTACGTTTTAAGACAGAGTGTGAGTGAGGGCCCACAGGTAGTGAGCAACAGGGCCCTCTGCTTTTTGAAACCTTCAGGTGGCAATAAAGCTGTCGTTCAGGGAAATGGCAAAGTGGCCGCAGACGCAGCCTGGAGCAACGGCTACACCTGCAGGGCCTGCACCCTGCTGTCCGAGCACCAGGACACCCTCCCCGCGCATGGCGCCTCCTCCAGAGTCTACTCGAGGGACAGGAGTCAGAAACGTAAGTCCCACTCGCTTGTTTCAGGGGTAGGAAAAGAGTCCACATCTCCTCTTACAAACCTCGTACCACAGGCCTCAGCATCTGCCTTTTTTCTGTCGTAGACTTGAACTCAAAATCATCCTGTAAAAGTTTAAGAAATGCACCAAAAAGTAGCTATGCTCCTCCTCTTCTTTCAGCTTACATTTCTTTAAATATATATATATATATATATATATATATTTTTTTTTTTTTTTTAATATATTTTATTGATATTTTACAGAGAGGAGGAAGGGAGAGAGATAGAGAGCCAGAAACGTCGATGAGAGAGAAACAGACCAGCTGCCTCCTGCACACCCCCTACCGGGGATGTGCCCGCAACCAATTTACATGCCCTTGACCAGAATCGAACCTGGGACCTTTCAGTCCACAGACCAACTCTCTACCACTGAGCCAAACCGGTTTCGGCTAGAAATATTTTTTGATTGATTTCAGAGAGGAAGGGAGAGGGAGAAAGTGATCAGCTGCCTCCTACCCACCTCACACTGGGGATGGAGCCCACAACCTGGGCATGTGCCCTGACCAGGAATTGAACCATGACCTCCTGGTTCATGGGCTGATGCTCAACCATTGAGCCACGCCAGTCAAGCCATCGCTTACATTTCATGAGGTTAGTGTTTCAGTCCGAGGAGTGTCCGAAAGTCTATAAAGTTGCACTTAGATGAAGCTGCTGGGACTGTGCAGTCACTGTCAGACACAGGTGCACCCACGGAGCAGCTACGCTGGGTACTTTCGCCCCTGCCAGAGGGCTCATGCCAGTGGGAATGAGGACGCAATCCCTGGTCTCCAGATTCGTGACTGAGGGAGCTTCATTTCGGGGACAGCTCAGCCCTGGCCTGTTGGGGTGGCAGCTTCGTTTCCTGGCCCGTGGGCAGGCACGGCGCTGGCAGCAGGTGCTGGAGCCTGGAGGCCCTGGGAGGCTCTGGAGCTGTGTGACTGTTGGAACTGCTGTGGCCTCCGCAGGCCAGGCTGTGGGGCTGCCTCCTGCCCCAGAGCTGCAGGCCTCCCTCCAGATTGCGTCGTGTTGCTGAGATGCTCCTGCTGACTCCCGCCCTCCACACCAGCCCAACCTTCTGCCTATGGTCCCTGCTCACATGCTCGTGGGAGGCTGGGGAGCCATGGGATGAAACTGCATCGCCTCGTGTCCGAGTCCTTGCTCCTGTGCGCTCAGTCTGAGTGCGGGTCCGCCTGCAGGGCTGGAGCCACACCTGGCAGGTGACCAGATAGGGACGGAAGGTACCAGGGGGGCAGGGCCGTGTTTGAGCGCAAGTTGCTCAGTGAACATTCCTCAGATGACTGGACGTAATGGACAATGGTACCAGGACTCAGAGGTCCTGTCACAGCTCTGACGCTTGTAGTTTATCTGCTGTGGTGTTGGGATCGAAATAAGAAAGCAGAAAGGGGAGGGGGAGGGCAGTTGTAACAGGATGACTTCCTTTCTAACGCAGCGTCGCATCACCAAGCACTCCTCTGCTGTGGGCTCTGCCAGTGTCTGACCCTCCTGGCAGCACTGCCTGTCCCCACCCAGCAGGCTGTCACCCTGAGGCTCAGCTGTACAACCGGCTGGGTGATGGAGCTGGGGCTGGCCGTGGCCATCTTGTCTGCAGGTGCCGTCCCCGGAATCCCATTACCCGGTCACTGTCCCACTGCAGCTCTGGGAGGGTCCCAGGCTAGAGACTTGCCAGTTCTTTATATTTTCATACTTGAAACATTTTTCAATCTGATGGGTGAAAATTGGACTTTGGTGTTTTTTATCAGGGAGACTGACCCTGCGATACCTCTTATAAATGGCTCTGCTGCCCAGCCTCTGTCAGAGTGCAGGCTGCAGAGCAAGACTCTTGTCCAAGTGCCAGCCCCCAGGGTCAACTGCTTCACAAAGCCGTTTGCCAGAGGCTCTGCTGCTGCTTTAAAATGACTCCAGCCCCGTCCTCCAGCCTGCTGCCTCCTGCCATGGCCGAAGTCACTGAGGCTTGCGCCTAGGGCACGTGAGGGCCGAGGTCAGCACCTCCTCACAGACGGTGTCTCCAGTGGTCAGTGCTCACCCACCTCAGGGACGTGAGGAAGCTCTTCCAGGAATAAAGGTTTCTAGCAGCTGAACCTTGTAGGGTATCCCCCCACGCATGTTAGCGTCACAGAGGGAAAGTGTCGGGTCACATCGTGTGTCCTGGAGCTCGGGACTAATGGAGGTGCGCCGTGTGACAGGCCTGGTGCAGTGCTCCGTGAGTGCCCAGCTGCCTCCAAAGGCCACGCCCCTGTCTCCTCATCCCCTCGAGAGCTGTGGCAAGGACCTGGGAGGTGTGCGGGCCTCACCTGGCACCCATCCTCCAGGCAGCAGGGCAGGAGGTGGGCGGGCGGTCAGGGGGGAGGGGTTGCTGCAGGGCCTGAGCATGTGTGTGAGCAGCACTGGAGGGAAGCTCAGACGGGTTCCTGGGTGAAAATTGCCGGAGAGAGAGTCGTGGCGGCAGCTCTGACTTGTCCTCCGTCGCCTTCTTACGTGGTTGTCTGGTGTCCATTTACAAAGCAATTCTGGTTTGCCTGACACAATGGTTTGGCTCTGACTGGTCGGGGAGGAAATGCTGGCTTGGTGGGAGGCCATTAACTGTGTCCACGGTTTTTTGATAGGCGGTGCGTCCCTCTACCTGGATAGGATTCTGTGGCTGGCCACGTACACTTCGTCGTCCTTTTCATCATTCTTAGTGCAACTTTTTCGAGTGGTTTTAATGAAGCTCAATTATGAATCAGAAAATTCCAAATTGAAAAGCTATGAATCAAAAGATCGTGAATCAGAAAGCTATAAGTCAGAAAGCCATGACTCACAAGGTACTTCAATACATCTTTCCTCTTTTTTCCACCAAATAATGCTTTCGAGGTGGAGAAAGTGCTCCTTTTCCCAGCGCGGCGCGCACGCTTCTGCTCGCACGGACTCTGGTGGCTCAGGCCTTCCTCTGGGAGCTGACGGAGGGGTCCTGTCTTCGGTGTGTGCCTTAGTTTTCTGACAGTTGACCAGTGTTTAAACATTGTTAAGTCACTTTTTAAAAACCTTCCTGGGAAGATATGCTTATGGCTTTATTTTCGTTTTTCGAGAGGAGTAGCGGGAGGAGGGGCTGGTGGAGACACCCATCGGTTGCCTCCGGCATGTGCCCTGACTTGGAATCGAGCCCCACCCGTTGGGTGTATGGGAGGACACTCCGACCACCTGAGCCCACGGCCAGGGCTTTAAGTCTCCTTTCCAGTCAGTTTCTGATTCTCTTTTAAAGCAAAGACAACTTATTTGAATGGCGTTCAGAACGATGTTTGGATGCGTTCAAGCAGCCCCCGTGCGTTGTGCTGGTGGGCGTGCTGTGTAGCCAGCGGGGCCTGAAACTCTCTTCCTGTCTCCTGTGCTCCTGCCTGAGCGAGCCACCTGCTGTGCCGAGCCGGTGGCCGCACATGCGCTCTGCCTGGCCGGCTCCTGGGAACGCCGAGTTTTCTAAGCCTCTTTTGCGTGTGTTGCAGCTCGTTCCGATCCCTGTGGGAGGAGGACAGTAACAGAGTTTCTCAGAGAGGACGGTGACCTCAGTGTAAATGGGGAGTCGTGTAAGTATGGCCTTGTCTCCACCCTGCTCCTGGGTGATTCCCAGGTTGCACGCAGGCCCCTGACGCTGGGGCATCACTCGGTGAACTCACGCCTCCCTGGGTGGGGCAGCCAGAGCTGCTGCTTAATCCCCAACAATAGGAGCCAGTGCCACCAGGTTCATTTGCTTTGTCTTTTCTCCTTTTCATAATCGGGTGTCCTATTTTTTCAAACTGCCATTGTCATGCACAGTTTTCGAATGGACAAGGTTTGCATCTTAACTGCTTGTCACCACCGCCCGCAGGCGATGGCTGTCGGGGGACGGCACGGAGCACCTCGAAACGCGCACAGCGCCCTCCTGCCGTCCCGCTGGACAGAGGGCGGCAGGGACCGCGCGGCCCACCCTGCCTCGGGCAGGGTGTGTCTCTCTCCCATTTTTGTCATGTTCTCCACAAATGCCTGTTGTTCCTTGTCCACATTTGGAATTCAGGTGCCTATTAAAAAAGGACAGGATTTTAGTTAACTTTTGGTTTAAAGTATGGAGACTATCTCTGTTGCAAACTTATTTGTAAGTGTATTTAGTGTGAATTGAATGATGAAAGAACTTACTTGAGATTTAATTAAAAGTTTAGCTCAGCGATGGCTGTCTGCCCTTCCCTGGGCAGCAGAAAGATTTATAGAGTTAGGTGTCCGGTTTGTACCTGTAAGTTTCTTTGTTAAAGGGGCACCTTTTAAGGGGAGCCTTAAAAAAAAAAAAAAAAAAGGCTGAGCTTCAAAACTAGTTGTCAACTGTTAATTAATAAACATAAAACAGTTGACTTTCAAAACCTTCTTAAGCCATATTTCTTTGCATATCAGCCATGTCGGAATTACTAATAGTTTCAGGAGTCAGCACACTCATGCTAACAGGAGTGGATAACTCAGTAATTACTTTTAAAAACGAAGCAGAGTGGCTTGCTCAGCGGGTCGTGCGTGATGTGCACTGTGTGTGCCTGCTTCTCGCGCCCCGTGGCCGCTGCCTTCGAGAGCCCTCCCGCTGGGCAGCCTTGGCCCATTGGTGTCCCCCTGGTCCTGAGCGGTCCTGTCTCAGCTGAGTGTGCTCACTGGTGTCTGCAGGTTTTACGTACCTCTCTCCCTGAATCCGCGGACACTGCCGCCAGCCTGTGGGCAGCCGCCCGGCCCTGCCGTGGCGCCCGTTGGCATCTGTGGGCAAGAGGAAAGGAGTGTTCCCACAGCAGCTCGTCTGAGTTTGTGTCAGTGTCTTGTTCGGATGCTTTGCGTTTGTGTTTCTGAAGAAGGGAGTCGATTCCTCAGGAGAATTGGGGAAAAGTCAGACTAGCAGGTGTGTCCTGCGTGTGGTCGCTGTGAGGAACTGCTGCTCTGGGTCTCGTGTGTGAGTGCCCCGCACGCATCTGTCCGCACAGGTCACGTCTCGGAGCGGGCGCTGCGGAGGACCGGAGCTGCAGCGTGGTCTGTGTCGCAGGCCGTGTGGTCGGCCCTCTGGTTGGCCGCCGCGGCTCCAGGTGGTTATGCTGGCTTTGTGCTCACCTCTCCCAGGCTGGGCCGCTAACACCGCAGCGAATGACTCCCCTAACCAGAGGCCATCCCACGCATGGCCCATGCTTGCTCCTCCTTGGAGCGCTTCCCCTGGGCTCGGTGCATGGGCTGTCCCCAGTGCCCGGCGCTCTGAGGGTTTGGCGCCTGGCTGGGCCATAACTGAGATGCATGCTGTGTCCCCTCCCAGTCATGTCTGGTGTGCTGACGCGCACTCTGTGTGGCTGTAGCCTGTGCTGTCTTATGTTGGAGCATGTGGATTCCTGCTGTGCTGACCAGCACCCCTTAACATACCTGCTCTTGAACTGCAACCCCTCAACTTCCCAAACGTCTGTCTGTCAATTTCCCGGTGCTCCCAGCTTGGCCGTCACCAAAGTGGTTCGCTTAGGAGCCTGGCTTTCCTGAGAACGCTCCAGGGACTGTCTGGTGTTTTCCTCTTTCAGGGAAGGCAGCCTCTGGCATCTTCTGGTGGCTGGGGAGTGGCTGGTACCAGTTCGTGACTTTGATTTCTTGGCTGAACGTGTTTCTTCTAACAAGGTAAAGAACTGACGTTACAACTGCTTTGTGTTTTAAAGAACTGATTTTGTGCCCTAGCCAGTTTGGCTCAGTGGATGGGACTTCAGCCTGTGGACTGAAGGGTCCTGGGTTCGATTCTGGTCAAGGCTCCTCCCTGGCCTGGCCCCTGGTCAGGGTGCCTGCAGGAGGAAACCCATCAATGTGCTTCTCTCATGTGCATGTTTCTCTCTGTCTTCCCCTCTCTCTTCTCTCCCTAAAAGATCAATGAAAAAAATATCCTTGGGTGAGGATTAACAAAAAATGAACTGATTTTCTGCTAACCGTAGGACATCATTTGATTTATTGTTTTATAATGATTTAGTTTATTTTTATAGTCTTGTAGAATGATATGTTAATGCCCTGCATTCACGTGTCATGTTTTATGAAATGCTTTCATGTTCTCATGGGAGAGTGTGGCACATGGGAGAGGAGGCCCTGCTGGTGCTGAGGCAGCTTCCACGGCCCAGGCTACCTCGGGGCCCATGAGTGAGGCCCCCCGTGCTCCCAGCGTGACCTGTGTGTGCTTGTTGACATGGGCCCAGGCCACCCCTTAGAGGCAGGGCTCCTGCCATGCAGACACACCTGGTGGGGAAACTGCACTTCTAACCTGTGGGCTCCTCTCATGGACCCGGGGGCAGAAGGGGAGGTGTCACCTGGAGAGGTGAAGTGAATGGGGACCCCTGCCTTGTGCTCCTCACAGCAAATGTTGTCCTATTCCTAGGTGCCTTCGGAATGTTTGCAAGTTTCTCATTGTGCTCGTTCCACTACTCCTCTTCCTCGGTGAGTAAGATGTGACTGCGTTCCCTGGGAGGGCCGCTGCGTACCACCCGGAGGTGCTCGGTGCGCCTCGTGGGAGGCGGTGTGCCCGTGCCGACCGTGACCGCGTGGTTTTCTCCTTCGAGGTGCCGGCCTTTCCTCACGAGGCCAGGACGGCTTCCTCTCCCTCCTGCCTGTGTTCAACTGGACACACATCCTCAGAGCACAGAGGGTGGACGACCCCAAAGACATGTTCACACCTGATACTTCTCACCTGAGCCAGCCTCCGGAGGTAACCTGGCATTGCAGGGGCAGGGTGCCGTTTTAGGAAATGCTTTTTAAATGCTCTGCAATAGTACAAGTAATGCACCTGTAAAGTCGCCTCCTAGTTCAATTAATTTCATTGAAGAATAATAGTGCTTATTCCTTTGGGAAATGTAGAAAGTACAGAGAAGAAAATGAAAGTCACCACTAGCTTGCCATGTAAGGAAATTCACCAATGGGCATTTTTGCATATTTTCCTTTCATGTATTTGTGTGCACTATAGTTAACATTTTGCCCTAATATTCTGTCTTGTAGTTTTTTGGGGGGCTTGTTTAAGATTTTTTATTGATTTTTAGAGAGGGAGGGTGGGAAACATCAATGTGGGAGTGACACATCAGTGGGCTGTCTCCCGCCCACCCTCCGCCTCGGCCGTGAATGAGGTGGCGACACCGTGGTGCACAGAACAGCCACAGCCACAGCCACAGCGGCCATGGCTCTGCTTTGTAGCTTGGACTTGCCCTGGTGCCCATTTAATGGCTCCCTCGAGTTGCTGTGAAAGGTCTCCTTCCCGTTTTAGGGTGCTGCGGAGGCGTCTCCCTGGCGTTGGATGAGTGAGGTGGAGAGGCAGGTGACCTCGCTGTCCGGACAGTGCCAGAGCCGTGACGAGAAGCTGCGAGAACTGACGGCTTCGCTCCAGAAGCTGCAAGTGCGGGTGGACCAGATGGACGACGGGGGTGCCGGGGTGTCATCCCTGGTGACGAGCGTGGTGGGGCAGCACTTGAAGGACCTGGCAGCCGGCGGACTGCTGGGCTCCCAGGTAAGGCTGGGAGGCCCTCGCCGTGTCTTCTCCGGGACCAAGGTCAGGAGGACACAGCCGTGGGACCTGGGCCTCTCTCCATTCCGGACCTTAGAAAACCAGCATCATGGTGAGGGGTGGGCTGACAGTTCTTTGCTTGAGAATGCCAAGTAAATTGGACATGCAGGTAGCTGCTCGTGGCTCCGCGTGGACAGCAGCTGCTCTGCCTTGCTGCGCGGCAGGGCGAGCGTGGTGTCCCACCCACAGCCTGGATCCCGGGCAAGCCCCCGAGTGCTCTCCCGGCACAGACGCTGGTAACAGGGAGCTCCCAAGCACGAAGGGGTCCGCAGTGCATACGGTTCATTTGAGTTCTCCTTTGAAGAAAAAAGTGACATTTAGAAAAAGAAGAATCCGTTTCTCTGTGTTGAGGTTCTAAGTTTGGTTGGCTCAGTAAGCTTGGCCCACGTTTCCTGAGCGCTGTGGCCATGGGGACCCCAGCAGGACCCCAGTTTGTCTGCGGCAGGCAGCCACGTGGGTGTCGTTTCTCCTGAGCTGCTGGCACGGTCCCGGTCTGACGTGGCAGTGGAGACGAGAGCCTGGTGGGTGATGAGCCCTGTCAGTGCTCTGCCACACTGACCAGACGTGCTCCACACTGGGGTGTTCTGTGTCGGGTAACTTGCCTGGTTTATCTGACGCTTCCTCTCTCTGCCATTTGTCCTCTCATTTTTCTCCAAGGCCGACTCGGGGACCTTCCACCACCAGCAGGAATCGCGCATCTCAGACTTGGAGGCTCTTCTGGGGAAGCTGGCGGGAAAGTTGGAGGTATTCCTTCTCGTCACCGTGGCCTCGGCACCGTGCTCTCCTGCGTGAATGCCCACGAGGGTTGGTGCTGGCCCGCCAGCCTTGAAAGCCCTTTCCAGTGTCGGCTGCTGTCCTCGGTGGATGTGCAGAAGGCCTCTGCAGGCCAGCGTTTCCCTGGGAGGTCTCGTGTGTGGCCGTGCTGCTTCACGAGCATGTCCAGCTCAGGGTCCGAGGTGTCTTTCAAGGGGAGTCCTGCGCCCAAGAATTAGCCAGGGCAGGGCTGCGGACGCCAGGGGCCGGCTGAGTCTGTACCTCCTGCTTGTCACAGCCACCTCCAGGGGCACCTGTGTGCAGACGAGAAGTCAGTTTCTGGAGGGAAAGTCTGTGTCTCAGATGCTGACAGAGGCAGAGGACGGAGGCCAGGCGCTGAGCTGGCACGGAGCAGGGCACAGCAGGAGGCTGTTGGCTGACCCAGCTCCAGGCAGGGCACAGCCACCACCGAGTCAGAATGGTGAGGCCAGTCCAGCAGGTGGGAGAAGGCCTAGTTCTGAGGCAGGGCTCACCTGTCTCCTGGGCCTGAGGTTGCGAGAAGGCCTGTCCGCCTGGCACAGAGCCCGTTCGTGCGCTTTGAGTGGACCCTGCCACTGTCCTTCGGGTGGCGTGTGTGCTCCTGTCCTGTGCTGCCATGGAGGTGACCGCCAGGGTCCTGGGCTGGTCCGGAGTCGCGGATGTGGGACAGGCACCTGTTGCTCCTGTGGGACTGCTCCTCTCTCTGTGTCTGAAAAGCATACTCTTCCCTCCAGCCAGCAGCCTGGGCTAGGCTGTGGGGGAGGAACCCAGGCAGGCGAGGTTATGCACTACCTTGGTGTGTATAGTCAACCACGTGGTAGCTTCATGAAAAGCCAGCATGGCATCGTGAAAACAGTGGTTTCTCCTGCTTTCTAGGCCATCCAGAAGGAACTGGAGCAGACCAAGCGGAGGACAGAGAGGTAGGAGGCTCAGGTGCTCCCTGTTCGGCATGTCGAGGGGCTGCCACCTGGGGTGGCAAGCTCTGGAGGGGATGCAGAGCTATGTGTCTTGCTGGGAGGGGCCTGTGGGTCGGCTGCTCTCCTCACAGCACCCCAAGGGCAGGCCACCCCTTGCTTTGACTGGGAGTGCTTGGAGGGCTGCCCTCGGGAGCAGATAAGCCCAGGCTCATGTCACAGTGGGGGACCTCGAGCTCTCTGGCCTGTGGGCATCGACGCTCAGCCCTTGTCCTGTGGCAGAGCCTGCGTGGGAGACAGGCCTGCACCCCGCTGCTCAGTGATTCCTGAGGCTCAGCGGGGGACCTTGTCCCCTCTGGCTGCTGTGTCTGGCTGTGTGTGTGTGTGTGTGTGTGTGTGTGTGTGTGTCTGTCTGGCCGGCCTCATCAGCACACGAGGGGCAGGTGCACCCTTGGGCGAGGGGGGTCCTCAGGGACCCAACCTGAGTGTGTGAAGCTCCTGTGCATGAGGCACAGGCTTATGTCACCCACACTGCCTGGTGCTGTGCTTCTCCGAGCTCACTAAGCATGTCCTCCCCCCACCCCGGCCGCAGCTCGCCCGGGCAGGAGCAGCACCTGCCGTCGGCGGTGGCGCAGCTGGAGCGCGACCTGGAGCACCTGAGGTCGGACATGGCGGCCTGGCAGCCTCTGAGGAGCAGTTGTGAGGAGGCCCACACGGTCCTCGGAAAGGTAAGCCTCCTCCACCCCACTTCTGGGGTCGGAGCGAGAGCGGCTGCTTCCGCGGCCGCCCGGGCGCCGTCCTGTGCACCAGTGTGCGGGGCAGGGACGCCTGTGGGCGTTTCTGGAAAGTGCGGTTCAGGGTGCTCTGTGCCCCTCGCCCAGGGGCCTCAGTGCTGGGTGGGTGAGGCTGGATGCAACAGCGCTTCCTCCTCCGCCTGAGGCACAGGCTCCACTGTGCTGTGCCCCTCCCACTCCTGTTCTCTGATCTCCTCCCTCTGTCTGAAGGGGCTCTTCCATTTAACTGAAGGGGGAATCGCCAGCCGGCGTGGCTCAGTGGTTCAGTGTGGCCTATGAACAGGAGTTCAGGGTTTGATTTCCGCTCAGGGCACATGCCCAGGTTGGGGGCTTGATCCCCAGTTGGGGCATGCAGGAGGCAGCCGATCAGTGATTCTCACTCATCCTTGATGTTTCTATATCTCTTTCTCTCTCTCTCTCTCCATCTCTCCATCTCTGAAGTCAATAAAAACATATTAAGGTGGGGTGGGGTGTGTGGCATTTCCATGATGGACGTGGAGAGCTGGGGGACACTGCCATTGCATCTAAGGTGAGGGGCATCCGGAGCCGCCGTGCTTTCTCATCTGTGTCCTCTTTTTTTTCTTTTTTTTGGGGGGAGGAAGATTTATTTTGATTTATGATAAAGGGATAGGAGTGAGTTGCTATCCATGCTACAGAAGCATGGCTTGTGTTGGTTCCAGAGGTGGAGGTGGGATATTCTTCTTCTTAGGAGTAGAGCTTGTTCATCTGTGTCCCCTTGATTTTATAAGGTTGATGCCCAAGTCCAAGAGACGGTCAGACTCCTGCTTTCCGGCGACCAGCAGGACGGCTCCCTGGACTGGCTGCTGCAGAAGCTGTCTGCGCAGTTTGTCAGCAAGGGCGACCTGCAGGCTCTGCTGCGAGAGCTGGAGCTGCAGATACTGAAGAACATCACCCACCACATTTCTGTGACAAGGCAGGAGCCAACCTCTGAAGCCATCATGGCCGCGGTGACCTCGGAGGGGACTTCCGGGATCACAGAAGCGGTAGGTGGAGAGGGAGGGAACTGACACTGTGGTGAGGGTGCTGAGGGCCGGTCCTGAACAGCGGGACCGGCAGTGAAGGTGGGTGCTCAGCCAGGGAGGTGCAGAGGTCGTGGGCGGCCAGGTGGCGCTGCTGCTGGGGAGGACTACTCTGCCAGCCTCTGCCCCACACCTGAGGTCGTGTCTCCATCACACAGAACCAGGCCGCAGTGCCTGCTCTGAACCTGCACGGCCACCACTCTGTGCACCAGGGGCTGGGGCGGGAGGAGCGGCCCTGCCCGGGTGCAGGCTGCAGTTTGGATTTCCCAAACATCCCCATGCCTGTCATCCGCAACACAGCTACTGACAGTGCTCTCCTGAACTCGGGCCTCCACGCCTGCCGCTAACACGTAGCCTTGTCTCCCCTCCCCCGGGCCGGGTCCCGCCTGTGCTGCCTCCCCAGCAAGCTCGCATCATCGTGAACAACGCGCTCAAGCTGTATTCCCAGGACAAGACCGGCATGGTGGACTTCGCCCTGGAGTCTGGCGGTGAGTCACTGCTGACTGCCAGAGGCCTGCTGGCAGGTGCAGCCGTAAGGCCGCCCCTCTCCGACCAGCCCCGGGACTCCCTCGGGCTTTCAGGCCGGCTCTCCCCGCGCACGGCGCCATGTGAGGCGGTCAGCTAAACCTCATTTGGGGGGCTTTTCTGTGGCTCTAGGGCTCCTCCAGCTGTCAGGGTCCCCCACAGCGGTTGGTTGGTTGCTGTGGTCTTGAGTGTTGTGCAGTGTGTGTCAGCGTTGCAGGTGGTACTGTTTGTGTTGAGTGTCCTTGCTTGATAGGTTTTATTTTTTTCTGAGAGAGGGGAAGGAAGAAAGAGAACATCCATGTGAGAGAGAAACCTCAGTTGGTTGCCTCCCGCAAGCACCCAAACGGGATGGAAGCCGCTCTGGCCAGGGTGCTTTTTTTACGAGTTGCAGGCCCAGCAGGAGGACACTCACTGCGTGTGCCCCGCCTTTGTGGTGTTCGCCGAGGTGCCTGCATGGGGGTCAGTCACAGGCCGCAGGCAGTGTCTTCCTGCATCTCCAGGAGGCTGTGTGCGCGTGTGGGTGCGGGCTCCTTCTGGAACTTGGCAAGGCTCCCTCCAGTGTCTGCCTCCTGCCGGACCACAGTCCCCAGGCCAGGTCCGCAGCCATAGGCCTGCAGCAAACTGGGGACAGGCGGGGCTAGCCCCTCAGGCAGTGAGCAAAGCGTGGGCTGTTTGGGCTCCGGACCAAGATCGCAGGCCAGTGTACTGAGAAAGCAGACTGTGGCTCAGGGAAGAGCTGAGGCCACGTACATGTCTTTGCCACCTGACCTCTGTGACATTGGGTCAAACACGGAGGTTTCTGTGAAGAAATCGGGGATGCTCGCAGGACATGAGAGAGACTGAGTGACTTCACGTCTGGTCGGTGGGGAGGTTTTCCGCCTCCGTTTTACAGAGCGTCTCAGGCTTCTGAACGTGTCACATTGGGGATTACAGGTTTTCCTGAGAAAGCAGGTTCTTAATGCGCTGGCGTGTGTGGAAGGGTTGGAGTCTCAGAGGCAGTGGTGATCTTACGCACTCGCCGCCTGTTTATTTATTTTTAAAAAAAATATATTTTATTGAGTTTTTACAGAGAGGAAGAGAGAGGGATAGAAAGCTAGAAACATCGATGAGGGAGAAACATCGATCAGCTGCCTCTTGCACACCCCCTACTGGGGATGTGCCAGCAACCAAGGTACATGCCCCTGACCGGAATCAAACCCGGAACCTTTCAGTCCGCAGGTTGACACTCTATCCACTGAGCCATCTGCTTAGTTTGCCTCATCCCGCAGTATAGGAAGGAGGGGGCTGACCCCCCTACTCCCAGCAGCTGGCTGTGGGCCTATTAAGTCAACCCTCTAACCTAGGGTGTCGAACTCAATCAGAGAAGGCCAAAATCTAAAATCCAGCCTAAATCGCGGGCCGAATGGTTTACTGAACAGTCATAAACTGTCATTGTGATGGAAACGCAGCGGAGTGCAGTGATGACAGTGCGGTGCGGGCCACATTGCAAGGCCTGGCGGGACGGATTTGGCCCGAGGGCCTTGTGTTTGACACATGTGCAACCCTCACGGGCCAGCTGACAGTGGGCCTGATTGGATTCTTTATTACTCACTTAAAGACACGAGCAGCCTGGCTGGTGTGATACAATTGGTTGGAGTGTCGTCCTGCGCACTGAAAGATTGTGGGTTTGATTCCTAGTCAGGGCCCATGCCTAGGTTGTGGATTCGATCCCTGATTGGGGTTAGGGTGGGTACAGGAGGCAACCAACCCGCATTTCTCAGATTGATGTTTCTCTCCTTCTTCCCCTTCCTCTCTCTAAAGACAATAGAAACATATCCTTGTGTGAGGGTTTTAAAAAAAACCATGAACAAAAGTTTATTCAGAGTAGCTGTCCCAGGAGGTGCAGGCGGGCGGGGAGCAGCCATGTTGAAGGGTCTCCCGTGTTGGCCGGTGCACACTGTGTAGCTGAAAGCAGGCGACTCCTGGCACTGGACTTGGACCAGTGGGGCTGAGGGGGTGCTGACCTGGAGTACCCAGGCCAGCTCCCCCTGCGGGCTGGCAGGCTCAGACCCTGACACCAGCCGCTGCTTCCAGGGGGCAGCATCCTGAGCACGCGCTGCTCGGAGACGCACGAGACCAAGACGGCACTCATCAGCCTGTTCGGCATCCCGCTGTGGTACTTCTCCCAGTCGCCCCGCGTCGTGATCCAGGTGAGGAGCTCTGCCCGGCCCTGCCCAGCGCCATGTGCTGGCGGCTGGCATCCTCGGGCCCTTCGTGACCAACTCTGTGATGTGTTTTAGCTTTTTGTGAAGGGGTAGGGAACCTACAGGAGTGTGTGCCCTCGTCTGTGTTCACTCAGTGAGTCTTCACACGGCAGACAGCACCCCCTGCCCCTCTTGCCCCCTCGCCCCACGGTTGGCTTGTCTGAGGGGTGAGCTGTAGGGCCCACAGTGCGAGTCAGCCACGCCTGCTCACGCCTGATTCCAAGCTGTGTGCCTTCTCGGGCCTCCCTCTGGCACTGGTCGCAGGTCCCAAGGCTGCATGACGAAGAGTGTGAAGCATCAGTACATTTGTTCGGCCTCGGGACTAAACTGCTGCTTTATGTTATAAGGTTTTTGGAAGAAATTTTAAATTATTTTTTAACATGAAACATTCACATGGTAGCAACCTTTCACTTACAAACCACACGCTCAGCCTGAAAGAGCTCAGGAAGGAGCTGAGTGGGAAGTGAGTGCTGTCCATGGGCAGTGCTGGCCCAGGCCCTACCCTGGCACTCGCCTGTCCTAGGTGCCGCTGGTCTCTGACCTGCGTGATGCTGGCTCCTCGGTCCCCAGCACTCGCCAGGCCCTGATCCACAGGGTCGCTCACCCGTGTAGCTCAGCTCCGGTCTCAGGTGCACGGTCTGCCCTGTTGGCCTGGGTCCCAGCATGTCCCCTGGAGGTCAGGAGGCAGCTGTCCCCTGCATGATAGACGTGCAGGGCAAGAGTGAGCGTGCCTGACGGGGAGGAGAGGGTGCCGGCTGTGCTGAGGCAGCAGCCGTGGTGGCTGCTCGCAGGAAGGAGTATGTGCCTTCGTAGGGACAGCTGGCAGAGGAGGAGTTCCCTCCGACGGGCAGGGCAGCCCCGGGCTCAGGCCACACCTAGAAGCGCAGCCACGGCTCACTGAAGGCTGCCACACCAGGAACCTGCAGAAACCCACTGGGCACAGGGCACCGAGGGCTGCGGGGAGTCCGAGCGTGGTCTTGGCGTGGCCGCTCCTTCAGACGGCCACTTGTATTTAGGGCCCAGGCCCCTTCTCACAGGGCGAGCAGAGGGGCACAAAGAACCGAGAACGTGTATCTTTTCCTCTTGTCCCTCCCTCCCGCCTGGTCGGGGCCCCACCACAGAGCCGCCGGCACCCGGGCAGGGCCTCCTCGCCGTGGAAAGGACTCTTGCAGCCTCTGTCCTGGGTCGGGTCCTTTTGTGCCCTCGCCAGTGTCCCCGGGTGGAAGAGGGCATGCGGGTCAGAGGCCGCTGTGCCTGCTGGGCTTCCTGAGCTCGGCCAGCGTGCACACTGTGGGAGCGTGCGCGGCCCCCAGCTCGGCACGGGCGGCCCGCTCGGGATGCTGGGAGCCTGCTCGGTGAGCCCGGGCCACCTGCCGCCCGGGCGTGGTCCGTCCTGCGGGAGCTGGGCCTCTTGTGGCTGGGGACACTGACACCCTGTGGCCTAGGGGTGCCTCTCACCCATTTTCCCTGCGGTTCTGGCACGTGAGCTCCGGAGAACTCACTCACCTGTGGGAGGCAGTCACTTCCCAGGTTGTCTTTGATTTGGCTTATGGTGACCTTTTACCACGCAAAATGCTTTTCCTTCTAGTTCAGTGGCACCATCTTTTCTCTTACCGCTCTGTTTTACCAATGGCAACACGCTTGCCGACTGTTAAGTGTTAGTGTGTTGCCTTTCCCCAGCCTGACATCTATCCCGGGAACTGCTGGGCGTTCAAAGGCTCCCAGGGCTACCTGGTGGTGCGGCTGTCGATGGAGATCCACCCGACCAGCTTCACGCTGGAGCACATACCAAAGACGCTGTCGCCCACGGGCAACATCGCCAGCGCCCCCAAGAACTTCTCCGTCTACGTGAGTGTGCTTGCCCCGGGGGCCCGGCGGTGCCCTCCTCCCTGCCCACTTTCCTCTGGAGCGTTACAGGCAGCATGGGCCCAGAGGGACGGTCAAGTCTCAGTGATGGAGGAACACCCCCCTCACGGGCGAGGAGTTGCGAAAGCCCTGAACGAAATGCCCGGGCGACAGCCTCACGAGGCCCTGGTGTCCGCAGTGACGGAGACAGTTCCCCTGCTCCTGCTGGAGAGATGCCGTCTGCCGGTGTCATTGCCGTGGTCCGGTGACCATCTGGTTTTGCTTTCAGGGACTAGAAAATGAGTATCAAGAGGAAGGGCAGCTGCTGGGACAGTTCATGTTCGACCAAGAGGGCGAGTCGCTCCAGACCTTCCCTGTCCCGGTGAGCACTTGCCACGCACACTGGTCCCTGCCCCTGGCCCCAGTCAGCAGGCCCCACTGCCATGAGCAAGCTGCCGGAGGGTGTGGCTCAGCCTCATGTGACGGGAGCGGGGCTCCTCCTCCCGAATGAGCCTCTGCAGTGCATGCTTTGCTCCTGTCGACATGTCCTGCACAGAAGTCAAGTCTGTGCTCAGGCGGATTCTCAGCCCCTGAGCTGTGCCTGTGACCGGGCCCAGGCCCGTGCCCAGCCTGGCCCCTCTCTCTCAGGAGCCTGGGGGGATGTGCTTGGGCTCGGAAGGGTTCATGTGAAGTAAGTGTGAATTTTTTTTTCTCTTCTTCGATTTCAGAAAAGACCTGAAAGAGCTTTCCAAATAGTGGAACTTCAGATTTTTTCTAACTGGGGCCATCCTGAATACACATGTCTCTATCGGTTCCGAGTTCACGGAGTCCCTGTCAAGTAGACACGCTCCTCACTGCTGCTGTACATTCTGTACATACGGGGCAGCCCGAGACACGGGCCTTCCCTTCGTGGACAAGGGCGTGGAACATGGGATGTCCCCTGTTAAATAAATGCTGCTGACTGCCAGCAGGACACGGGAATTAGCAATGAATGTGTGCGCCCCTTGCTGTTCTGTCTGTGGGAGGCTGCCTGTTGAGGGCTTGGGTTTACGGAGACCTGTTGGCCACGGTGGATCTCGGAAATGCATTTGAATGTATGGCTCACAAAGACACTTTGTTTGGGGGATTTGTTTTTAAACATAAAGCTGTTTATATTCATTATTTTCTTGACATCGGGAACAAAGCAAGTGACATTAAAAGGTTTGATGAGTTCTTGAAGCTTCTACACATAGCCGATCACTGGCCTTTCCAAAGAACTCTGGGGCAGCTGCCTATTTTCTCTCCAGCTCACAGTTCTTTCAGGGGAAAATCAGTGTCACCAAACTGAGTCCAAACTCCTTTCCTTCAGGGTGGGTGGTGCTTTATTCATGTCACCAGGTGGGAGGTGGTGAAAGGTGTTTTTCTGTTTCGCTTGCTGCACTGAGAAAGGTTCTCCAAGTCAGAGCCTGGAGTGTGAGGACCCAGCAGGAACACAGGAGGGTCACCCCGCCTGGCTAACGTCGGTCTGTCCGTCCAGGTGTAACACACACAAGTGTAGGCTCAGGCTCCCGCTTTCAGCACGAACAGGAACAACGACCTCCAGTCCAATCTGCAAAAGCAAACACTAACATGCTCCCCCACCCAGAGGCCGTGTTTCTTCCCCTGGTGGTGTCGGAGGCGGTCCAGCGTGGCCAGTGCTAGAGCCACCACATCCTGCACTGCCCTCCCAGCAGCACTTTCACTGGCTCGGGTGGCACGCCTTTTCTTAAGCTGTCGTGGCCATTCTCCTCCCATTCCTGGGAGACCCATTTTGGTCATAATTAGTATTTAACACTGAGGCTATTTAACACAGACTATTTAACGTTGAGCAGACTTTATACATGAGATATCCACAAGGCACTTAAGATGTTACTGATGTTTTAAAGTTAAGTTTTACTGGGTTAAGACAGCTTCTTGGTATACCATAAATGTATTTTCAAAGAAGGTAAAATGATGGTGCTGACAGGTTTTCTGGAGTTTTATGTATATTGCGCAATAGTCCTCAAATACACAAAAACTAGGTAGCTTTTCTTTTTCTCTTAGAATTGGGGCTGTTGCCTATGCAGTTAAGTTGGGTAAAATGTATACAGATGTTTCCTATATTACAGGATAAATATGAGTCAGAATTTCTTATATAAAACTAAATTTGGGAGTTGGGGTGGACATATTTTGAATATTAATTTATTTTTAAAGATGCAAGATAGGACTTTGTGCAGTGTATTTTTGTAAATGCTTTTCCAAATGTCTGGTAGTGCTCCTGTTGCTGCCAACAAACTAAGATGCTATTGAAATGTTTAAATAAAGAGTTTTTAATTTTTAAGAGTGCATGTGATACTTCAAATGAATAATAAACAGCATATTTCTTTCTCCAGTCTGCTTTGTTTATGCCGGGGCAGCTGTGGGTGGGACGACTAGGTTTGCGTGTTCTCCCACGTCTCTGTCGTAACCACCTCGCGCTCACCCAGCTTGGCCAGCCCCGTGGCGGCAGGGCACCCTGGGGTCGGGACTCTCCGGGAATAGGAATTGCAGGGGCTGCGTAACGAGGAGAGAATTGGGAAAGGAGATGCATCTCGGAGGAATGCTTCCCTCCCGGGTCTTTGGTTACTGACGGGCTTGGCGAGCCGCTTTCCAGACTAACCCCATCGGATTCCTTAGTCAAGTACAGGGCGGGGCCGCACTACGGATCGTGCTGTCTCCCACCCTGTGCGGACTGAATGCCCGTGTTGCGTGTAGGGCTCTGGGCCTAGGCAATGGCCAGGCGCTGCGGGTCTGCAGGCCTGGGAGGCAGAGCTGCAAAGGCTCCGCTCCACCCCACCTTTAAAAAAGTTCGTTGATTTGGGGGGTAGGGTGAGAAACATCCATGATGAGAATCATTGATCAGCGGCCTCCTGCACGCGCCGCCACTGGCGATGGAGCCCGCAAGGCCGGCATGTGCGCCGAGGGGGAATGAACCCGGACCTCGGGGCTCATCGCTCCACGCTCAGCCGCCGAGCCACAGCGCCCGGTCCACCACGTTTCTATTCTGGCGGCAGGTGTGCCCGCCTAACGCACACCCGCTCCCCTCCTCCCGCGCAGGCGCTCCGCTCCGCTCTGCACCCGCTCCCTCCAAACACCCGGCATGTGCTGCGCGCTCAGGCCAGTGGGTTGCGGTGGCAGTGTGACCTTGGGGGCAGGGACGGGCGTGGGCTCACGACACGCACCATCCACAGTCGGTGGCCGTCCGGAGCAGTCGGGCGAGGGGCGCGGAGCTGGGGCGCAAGGCAGGAGGAGGCTGCCCTCAAAGGCCCAGTCCCGGCCGATCTGAGCCTGGTCTGCACCGCCCAGTGCCCGCCCGCTGCGCCGAGTGTGGCCTTGAGACCTGCCGCCGCCACCGAAGCGGCTAAAACCCTTTCTTCTCAAGCCGTTTACACACGCCCACGACCGTTGAGCCAGCGGCTGCCCGCGGGGATTACGCGGCCGCCATTGTGACGTCAGCGCGCGTCGCAGTCACGTGATCTCCAGGGCTCCGCCTCCGCTCGCGTCACGTGCTCGCCCCGGCGGAGCCCGCGGTCACGTGGCCGCCCGTCGGCGCGCCCGCCCCCGACCGCGCGGCTCCTCGCGGCCACCGTAGAGGACGTCGGGCGGCCGCCGGGACGGAAGCCGAGAGGCGCTGCCGACCAAGCCTGCGACAGCGTCAGCCCTGCGCGGAGCGCCGGCCCGATGGCGGCGACGGCGGCGATGGCCGAGCAGGAGGGCGCCCGCAACGGCGCTCGCAACCGCGGCGGCGTCCAGCGCGTGGAGGGCAAGCTGCGCGCCAGCGTGGAGAAGGGCGAGTACTACGAGGCGCACCAGATGTACCGGACCCTCTTCTTCAGGTAGCCGCCGTCCGCCGGCCCCGCCCCCGCCGCCCATTGGCCCGCGCCGCTGCCTGTCGCCGCGGGTCCGGGCGGGCGGCGGGCGAGGGCGAGGCCCGGGGCTCCCGCCGGCTCCCCCTTCGCTCCCCTGGCCCAGCCCCGGCCGGCCCCACCCGGGCGCCGTTGGCGCGGAGCCCCTTCGCGAGGTCGCACGGCCCTCCGCCCTCGGAACGCAGCCATCGCCGGTGTCGGGCCCGTGCTCGCCGCGCTGTCGGGTCGGGGCCGGGCCGCCGTGCCTGCCTCCTCCCGGGGCTGCGGCACCTGCGCTGCCCACGTGCGGCCGTGCGCCGGGCCCGGGAGCCCGGGCGGCGGGGCGGCTCGGTGCGGGGGCCGTGGTGGAGGGTGGGCGGACGGAGCAGACGCCGCCTCCGCGTGGCTCAGGGCCCGGGCTGCGCGGCTGCCCCGTCACGGCGCGTGTCAGGGCGCGTGGGCCTGACCGACACACGGACTGAACGTGCAGGCGACGCTTCCGGGACTCGGGCGCTGCGGGCGGGAGACAATGGCCGCTCGGAGGCCAGCGGAGGGGGAGAGCCTTCCTCCCCGCCGCCGGGCCTGTCCTGCGGGGCGGCGGGCGGGCGGGGGAAGCTGTTTCTCCGATGCCGGCGCCGTGGGTGCCGGGCCGCGTGGAGGTCCCGCCGCGCGTTCCTGTCGCAGTAAAAGGCCGCGGGCTGTGGGCGCTGGTCGTGCGCGGGGTTTGCACCGGCGATTCCTCAGCAGACCCGGGCCTTCCCGACACCGGCGGGCGGTCCCCTCCGGAGCCGCCCGGCCGCGGTTGCCGTTGGAGGGACGAGCGGGGCCTCCCGGTGGCCAGGCCCCGGGCCCTGGGTCCATCCCCCTGGCCTGGGGTGGGGAGGTGCCCGCAGGCTCTGCCGCCCCGCCTCCACCTGGGCCGCCGCCTCTCTGCTCTGAGCCTGGCCCGTGACGCAGGCAGCGCCCTGGGAGCCGAGCCCTGGCTTCCTGGTGGTCACCCCAGGCTCCTGCCCCCCGCACAGCTCCGCTCAGGCCGCCTTCTGGTTTGGAACCCCCACGGCGTGTAGCTCCCGGAGCAGTCGGATTCTTATACTAACGTTTAGTGCCTTCCTGCAAGTAAACGTATCCGTTATTTAAGTTATTACATTTAAATATTCATGGAACGTGCCAGCAGGTGAGCTGCATGCACACACACACGCCCCAGGAGCGATGCTGAGAGTGCCCATGGCCTCCAGCTTCTCTCTGGTCCACCCGCTCCGGCCCGAGGCCGGTGTGTATTTTCTGACCGTAAATTCACTCCCCACGGTCCACAACTGTGGGCGGTGACCACCGTGCGGATGGACCCATCTGGCTGCCCACACCCGCTGGGTGAGACATCACGTCATGACGTCGTAACGGGCTGACACGGTGCCCCCAGTGTGAGGAGCAGAGAGCAGGAAGGGGCAGCCGGCAGGTGGGCGTCCGCGGGGCTGTGTCCACAGGAGTGGGCCTGGGCGTGGCCGCTGGTTCCTGGAGGATGAGCCTCAGCCCCAGCAGGGAAGCAGCAGGGTCCCCCGGCGGGCGCGTTGGGAGTCTGTAAGTCACTCCCGTGGACAGGAAAGGACCTGTGGCCACGTCCCCCGTCACCCAGTCCAGGGCCTCCACTGGGGCCTGAATTCGGGTCTCCTTCCCCCCAGCTTTCTGATTGCCTGGATGGTTGGTTGTGGCCTGTAACCTGTTTGCCTCAAACCAAATGAAGAAGTTTTTAAAAGAAAGCCTTAAAAACGCATTCTCAGAGGAAATAATGAACAACATAAACTGATGAACAAAAACAGACCCAGAGAAAGAGAAGCAGCGATCAGACTTTCAAACCTCAGAGGGAAAGTAAGGGAGGGTGGGGGTAAGGGGAAGAGATCAACCAAAGGACTTGTGTGCATGCCTATGGGCCTAGCCAGTGGCTATGGACTACAGGGGGGCGGGGGCATATTTAGGGAGGGTTTGGGATGGGAATGGCGGGATAAGGACAATTATGTGAGACCATAATCAATAAAATAATTAAAAAAAAACAACAACGCATTCTCTGCTGCTGGTGGGTCACCTGAGCTTCCCCGCCGAGCGGCTGAGGCTGGCGGCCGAGCCTCGGTTCCGGTGCGTTCTGCGAGGTGGGGGACCCCAGGGGGCGGGCGTCAGCTGAGACTATGTGTGTCTGTCGTCATTTGACACAGTGATGCTTTTAATTGATTTTTTTCAGAGAGGAAGGGAGAGGGGGAGAGAGACAAACATCCATGCTGAGAGAGAATCATGGATCGGCAGCCTCCTGCACGCCCCCCAGTGGGGGATCAAGCCCACAACCCCAGCACACGCCCTGACAGGAATCAAACCCAGGACTCTTCCTTCCACAGGCTGGCGCTCTGCACAGAGCCAAACTGGCCAGGCCATAGTGATTGTTAAAATTAAATTTATTGGTGCCCTAACCGGTTTGGCTCAGTGGATTGAGTTTCGGCCTACGGACTCAAGGGTCCCAGGTTCGATTCTGGTCAAGGGCATGTACCTTGGTTGCAGGCACGTCCTCAGTAGGGGGTGTGCAGGAGGCAGCTGATTGATGTTTCTTTCTCATAGATGTTTCAAACTCTATCCCTCTTCCTTCCTCTCTGTAATAAAAATCAATAAAATATATATTTTTTAAATTAAATTTATTGGGAACAGTGGTTACAACGAAAATCCAGGTGCACACCATTGTAATGTGATGTCGGCGAGCGCTACAGTGAGCTCTCCCCCGAGGCCGGTCTCCTCCACCCAGTTCACCCCACACCCTCCTGGGCAGCAGCCCCTTCCTTCCGTGTCTGTGACTTTGTTTCCGTTTTGTTCCCTTTGCTTTTAGGTTCCACGTGTGAGTGAAACCACGTGGTGTGTGTCTTCCTGTCTGAACTAAGTCACTCAGTATAACAGCTCTGTCCCATCCAGCCATCCATGTTGTCACCGGGGTGAGATGTCACTCGTTGTTACTTCTGAGAAATACTCCATGGTGTGGCCAAAACCGGTCTGGCTCAGTGGTTAGAGCGCCGGCCTGGGGACTGAAGGGTCCCAGGTTCGATTCTGGTCAAGAGCATGTACCTTGGTTGCAGGTACATCCCCAGTAGAGGGTGTGCAGGAGGCAGCTGATCAATGTTTCTCTCTCATTGATGTTTCTAACTATCTCTTCCTCTACATAAAAAAATCAATAAAACATTTTTTAAAAATACTCGATGGTGTGTATGCATCACAGCTTCTTGTTAATTTCTTACTGATTTTAGAGAGAAACATGGATTGTGGTTCTAGTTACTTATGCATTATTGGTTGACTCTGCGTGTCCTGACCAGGGATTGAACCCCAACATTGCTGTACCGGACGGCAATCCGGCGTGAGCCGCGGCCAGGCCAGTGCCCATCGCCGGCACGCGGGCTGCTTCCCGGCCTGGCGTTGCCGGTGATGCTGGCGGACATGGGTGTGTGAGTGTCCTTTTGAGCTGATGTTTCCGTGTTCCTTGGGTAAACACCCAGCAGAGGGACTGCCCGGTCACGTGGTCGCTGTTTGTAGTTCTGAGGAAACGTCACGCTGCTCCCCGCCGGCTGCACAGCGGCGCCCCCAGCGTGGCAGGCGCCCGTTCTCACGCCCGCCCGGGGCTGGTTCTGTCTGAGGACAGCCTTTCCGACAGGTGGCGCCGGCGCCGTGGGGGGCGTTTGCCTGTTCCTGATCAGCCATGCTGGACGCCTTTCCATGTGCTTCTGGACGGAGGTGTGGGCCTTCGTCCGGCGGGCGAGGTTTCCCAGGAAAGCCTCCGCGGTGGGTGCTGCTGCGTGTCCCGTTCGGAGAAGTTGGTCGTGATGGATTGCCTTTCTCCGGATAAGACGTCCATCTTTGTCTCCTGACGTTTGTTCTGTCTGACGTAAGCGTGGCGCCACCTGCTTCCCTCCGGATCCGAGAGCCGGGGTGCCAGAGTCCCCCTTGTCGGAGTCCGCAGTCTCTGAGCTGGGGGCTGGGCTCTGGCCGGCGGCTGCTCGGAGCCGGAGCCGGAGCCGGAGCCGTCCGGGCCCAGTGCTGGGTGACCACGGCAGCCCGTCCGCTGTTCCTCCGGTTCTGTCGCCGGTGGGGGGGTGGGGGCTTGCTCTGACGTTAGCCCATGTCTCTATTTCCATGTTTGGCGCCTCCGCTCTGGGTATGTGTCTCAGATAAAGCCGTCCTTGTTCTGTCTCCGTCTGCCCACAGGCTCACAGACACACACACACACACACACACACACCCAGGTATTCCTGTCACCTCCATGCTGTTCTCGGAGACTGAATGGAGCGGCTGTAGTTTTTTAAACTGCGAGAGGACTCGTACTGGGACAATCTGAACGGCAGGAAAAGCAATTCCTAAACGAAATGGGCTTGGGAACAAGTCAGAGCCACGGAAGGGCCCAGGGAGCCGGGAACCAGGAAGCCGAGGGGCCTGGGGCAGGTGGGGAGGCAGGGCCGGCTCGGAGGGAACGCCAGCTGTGGCCACTTTAAAGCCCTTTCCCTTTTGTGCTTAATTAGGTGCTGAACCCCATCTACGCGTTTGAAGGTAGAGGCTAGGAGCACCCTGTCCATCTTGTCCACCTCCTCCTGCGGCTGCGGTGCCTTCTGCGGGCCCGGCTGGTGCTCCTGTGCTGAGCGCTCCCTCCTCCCTCCTCCCTCCTCCCCCCTCCCTCCTCCCCGCCGAGCGCACCCTCCTCCCTCTGCTGCTCTCGCCAGGACCCTGGGGCCTGGGTTTCCTCTGGTGACGGCCCTCCGGCCGCCGGGAGGACTCGGTTTTGTCCCTAACTCGTGAGGTTTTTAGTGTCTTGTCACTTCCGGCTTTGAATGTCTCCGGAATGTCTCCGTCTGCCCACCGGTGTCCCCACTGTCCCAGGTTCTCTTTCCCTTTTGGATGATGGAGCACTCCCTCTCCATGGAGTCTTGTCTGTCTGTCTGCCCCGTCGCCCTGGGCGGCTTCTGGGGACCTCCGCTCCATGTCTGTCTGTCCTCTCACAGAGTCCGTCCCGGCTCAGGTGCTCACAGCAGCTGGTGCTGTGCTGAGTCGCGGGGGTCTTGCCGCTTCGAGGCGGCTGTGCATTCTCTGCGTGACTGACCTGCTGTCTGGAGATGCTGTTTCCGGTGCTGCCGGTGGTGGACACCGGTCTTCACCGAGGCGCCGTGGGCAACCACAGGTGGCTGAGGCCGGTAGATGGCGCTGTACACCAGGTGTGGTTGTACCTGTGCCTCCGGGCAGGGGGTCCCTGTGGTCATGGGAGCCGGGCCGCTCCGCCCTCCCCGTCCCAGGAGGGTCTCCTGCCTTCGGGGGCTTCTCTTCGTCGTCTGGTTTCTGAGATGCTGGGCCCAGTGGTCTCAGGAGGAACCGGGACCGGCTCATGTGCTGTCTGTCCCATGGGGTGGACGCTGTGGCCCTGGGGTCCATGCAGGTGGAGCTGTGGCTGTGTGTGTGTGTGTGTGTGAGATTGAGGGCACACCTCTGTCAGCAGTGCTGAGTGTGTGTGTGTGTGTGTGTGAGATGAGGGCACACCTCTGTCAGCAGTGCTGAGGTGTGTGTGTGTGTGTGTGTGTGTGTGTGAGATGAGGGCACACCTCTGTCAGCAGTGCTGAGGTGTGTGTGTGTGTGTGTGAGATGAGGGCACACCTCTGTCAGCAGTGCTGAGGTGTGTGTGTGTGTGTGTGTGTGTGTGTGTGTGTGAGATGAGGGCACACCTCTGTCAGCAGTCTGAGGCAGAGACGGGCCGGGGAGTCCCCCGCCGAGCGGCCGGCCGGCTGCTGGAGGAGGGGTGTGCTGTGGGCCTGTTACAGACAGACCGTCTCTGGGGACGAGGACAGCCCGCCATCGCCCCGGGGAGGAGCCGCGGCCTGGCCTCTGCCCGGGGTTTGCCCGCGGTGGGCTCCTGGCCGGGCTCTCCCGCGGCCCCTGAGGCCCAGACGCAGGTGCCCCCGCGCCCACCGCTTCCCGCGCTTCCCAGGCTGCGCTGCTCTCTGGGCGCCGTGCGGTCGGCCCGTCGTCCAGCCGCTGCCTCCAGGCCCTGCCCTTTGACCCCGTTCGGAGGGGTGGCGGTGCCTCCTGGGAGGAAGCGCAGCCCGGAGGGCGTGGTCCCCTCCTGTGCCGCCCTGGCCTTGGGTTCTGCCCTGATGCGTGGGGGACCACCAGCCTCTCATCCCTCCGACCCCCCGGCCCGAGTCCCTGCTGACGTCGCCCCAGTCCCGCGGCCGCAGGCCGGCCTGCCGTCCCCGTCGCTGACCACAGGGCTCCGTGCGGCCGGCAGGGCAGGGCGCCAGGCCCCGGGTGGTGGGCCCTCAGGACCCCGCACCAGTGTGTGCCCGCTCCGCCATCGACCCCCTCCTGGCTCTGCTCCTGCAGGTACATGTCGCAGAGCAAGCACGCCGAGGCCCGCGAGCTCATGTGCTCCGGGGCGCTGCTCTTCTTCAGCCACGGCCAGGTGAGCACCACGGGGTCTCCCCCCGGGCGGGCGGGGCGGGCGGGGCGCCCGGGTGTGGGCTGTCTTCTCGACACAGCTTTCTCCCTGACCACCTGGTTCTTGTCCATCTCCACGTTTTGTAGCAAAACAGCGCTGCGGATTTGTCCATGCTGGTCTTGGAGTCGCTGGAGAAGGCGGAGGTGGAGGTGGCCGACGAGCTGCTGGGTGAGGCTCCTTTCACCCGTGCGCATTCTGGGCGGAGTCTCACATCACAGCCCCACACGCACCCCACACGGAGGCGGCCTCTGCCCCCAGCTGTGCTCCACCCGCCGGGCGGCTCCTCTGGGCGTGGGAGGGCCCAGCCGGGGGAGAAAGGGGGCCCCAGAAGGGAAGTGGAGGTGGTGTCTGAACTCGGGGCGCTGTAGGAAGCTGAGTCCGGTGCCCCCCTGAACAGGGCTCTCTCTCTGTTCCCAGAAAATCTGGCTAAACTGTTTAGTCTGATGGACCCCAACTCTCCGGAGCGCGTGGCCTTCGTGTCCAGGGCCCTGAAGTGGTCCAGCGGGGGCTCCGGGCGGCTGGGCCACCCCCGGCTGCACCAGCTGCTGGCCCTCACCCTGTGGCGAGGTAGGTCTGGGCACCTGGCTGGGAAGGGGCTTCTGGTTGTCGCTGAGCTCCACCATGGCCAGCGGGGACCGGTTCCCTGTCGCTGAGCTGAGCCGCCCACACAGGCCGCCAGCTGAGGCGGGGCCTATCGCCTGGCGGGGCCGGCCCAGCTGAGGCTGGGGCGGGGCCTATCGCCTGGTGGACTGGCCCGGCTGAGGCTGAGGCGGGGGCGGGGGCTGTCGCCTGGTGGACCGCCCCGGCTGAGGCTGAGGCGGGGGCGGGGGCTGTCGCCTGGTGGACCGCCCCGGCTGAGGCTGAGGCGGGGGCGGGGGCTATCGCCTGGCGGACCGCCCCGGCTGAGGCTGAGGCTGAGGGGGGGCTATCGCCTGGTGGACCGCCCCGGCTGAGGCTGAGGCGGGGGCGGGGGCTGTCGCCTGGTGGACCGCCCCGGCTGAGGCTGAGGGGGGGCTATCGCCTGGTGGACCGCCCCGGCTGAGGCTGAGGCTGAGGGGGGGCTATCGCCTGGTGGACCGCCCCGGCTGAGGCTGAGGCGGGGGCGGGGGCTATCGCCTGGCGGACCGCCCCGGCTGAGGCTGAGGCTGAGGGGGGGCTATCGCCTGGTGGACCGCCCCGGCTGAGGCTGAGGCTGAGGGGGGGCTATCGCCTGGCAGGGCCGGCCCGGCTGAGGCTGAGGCGGGGGCGGGGGCTATCGCCTGGCGGGGTCGCCCTGTCCCGGCTGAGGCTGAGGCTGAGGCTGAGGCGGGGGCGGGGCCTATCGCCTGGCAGGGCCAGCCCGGCTGAGGCTGGGGCTGAGGCTGAGGCGGGGGCTATCGCCTGGCGGGGCCGGCCCGGCTGAGGCTGACGCTGAGGGGGGGGCTATCCCCTGGCGGACCGCCCCGGCTGAGGCTGGGGCTGGGGCTATCGCCTGGCGGGGCCGGCCCGGCTGAGGCTGAGGCTGGGGCGGGGGCTATCGCCTGGCGGGGCCGGCCCGGCTGAGGCTGGGGCTGAGGCGGGGGCTATTGCCTGGCAGGGCCGCCCCGCTGAGGCTGGGGCGGGATTGTCCCTGCCAGGCCCTGTAGGGCCGCCCCCACCACGGCCTCCGCGGGGACGCTCCTGCCACGTGGGCTGCTCTCACCGCCCGCCCCTGCTCAGCGTCCAGTCGTGTCCTGGCTCCGTCTGCTCGGCGCAGGGAGAGGCGGCGGGCCGCGCCCGCTCAGGGCGGCTCCTCACGGTCCGAGGGCCGCGCCCGCCTGCTGAGGCGTGTGCTCAGTGCCTCCCGCCTCCCGCCCTCACGCCCCCTGTACGTGGGGACGCGTGCGCTCCTGTCCTCACGGCCGCCCGGAGGGCGTGCGGGGCAGCCTGTGCGGTGAAGCCAGGCCCTCCAGGTCCCGGCCGAGGCGGCGGCTCTGCCCTCCGGCAGCTGCCGGAGCCGGCCTGCGGGCGAGTGCGCGATGGACAGCGGCGGCCGGACCGCAGAGAGGCAGCCACGGGCCCTCCCCCCGCCTCACGTCCTGTGAGCGCCTTTGCCTGCACCCGGGCCGGTCCTATCCCTGGGCCTCGGCCTGATGTCCGCCCCCGGGTCCTCACTCACAGCCTGTCTGTCTCCACCCACAAGCCTCTGCCCGGAGCCCTGTCCGGTCTCGCTGCCGCAGTGCCGGGATCCCTCCCGGCGGCCAGTCCTGCCCTCTCCCCGGGAGAGTGGGCGTGCGCAGGGTCCGGTGGAGCCACTCAGCCAGACCTGTGCCGCCAGCGGCGTTCACTTGTCACCGGCTCCTCCCTGTGTCGGGGGGCTGCCCCCGCCTCGCCCCTGTGGCTGCGAAGCAGCGGGCACGGACTGAGGGCATGTGTGTATCGTAGTGACGGCTTGAAACCAGGACACAGGCCTCGTGTGCCCTGCCTGGGCTCAGAGTCCAGCAGGGCCCTCCCGCAGGCCCCACGGCTGTCACAGGGCTGGGCGGAGGGTCCCGGCAGAGCCTGGCTGGCAGCAGGTGCCGTCGCTGCACAGGCCAGGCCAGGCCAGGACTGGGGCGGAGCCCCCTGCTGGCGGGAGGGGGCGCAGGGGCCCCTGACTCGCGCGGATGCTCCGGCTGCCCTCCACTGGCGCCGCAGTGACAGCCGCTCCCTTTGCAGAGCAGAACTACTGCGAGTCCCGCTACCACTTCCTGCACTCGGCCGACGGGGAGGGCTGCGCCAACATGCTGGTGGAGTACTCCACGTCGCGTGGCTTCCACAGCGAGGTGGACATGTTCGTGGCCCAGGCTGTCCTGCAGTAGGTGTCCCGCAGCTCAGCCCTGCCCCCACGGGCCCCGCACAGAGGGGGGTGCCCCTCTGGAATCATGTGACATCCCACTGGGCCCTGCACGGACCCCGCCCCTCCCAGCTCTCAGGGGCGTTGCAGCCGGGCTTCTGTGACATTTCAGTTCAGCAGTGAGAGGAGGAGGTCTGTGTGTTTTATACCAACACTGGAAGCCCAGCGCACAAAATCGCACGGCCCCGCCCACCACATGCGCCTGGCTCTGCTCACGGCCCGCCCACCGGCCCGCCCACCGTGCCCTCTTTGGTCACCCAGGGCTTTGGGTTTTTAGGGTCCAGGAGGTTCTTACGTTCCCGCCGGCTTGTTTGGTTCTGTCTTGCCCCTCCCCCGTTATCTGTGCCTTTGACAAGCGGTGTCGGGGTGGGGTGAGCAGTCTAAGCCACGTCTGGAGCTGTGGTGTGGGCTGCGTTCAGAGGGTTGCTCAGAGGCTGTGGGGCCTCTCCGGACGCATCTGCGTCAGCATTTCCCTCTGAGGACACTCCGTCAGGCCCTGCCTGGTTTCTTTCCTTCCGTTTACCTTGGAGGAGTGGGCCTCACTGCGGGGACAGAGGTGCGGGGTCCCCTCGGCCACACGGGGCAGGCACCCCCCTCGGCCTTTTCCCAGCCTGAGCCCGTCCCTCCTGACGGGAGCATTTCCCGTGGGACCCGTGGACTTCCTCCCACAGACGCCTGCCGTGGGGCCGGGCGCCGGGGCGGTGCCGTGTGACTGAAGGTCCTGCTCGCACGTCAGGCCCGACCCGGCTGGCAGTGCCAGGCCCCCCTCCGCTCACTGTCCGGCTGGTGGTTCAGCAGACACCTGGGGGGTGGGCCTGGCTCTGCATAGAGGGTCTGAGCCCCTTCTCGGGAGCCCCCTTTGTGCCTAAAAACGTGACCCTGGGCCGGTGGCCCAGTGCCGCAGGCGTGCGGGCAAACTCATCCCGCCCTGTCCTCCCACGCGTCTCCGCCTCAGCCGGAGGCGGGAAGCCCGCTTGCTCCCGCAGGGCCCGGCGGGGCGGGCGTGCGTGTCCCCCGCGGGGCCTGGCCCCCCGTGACGCGTGTGCTCGCCAGGTTCCTCTGCCTGAAGAACAAGAGCAGCGCGTCCGTGGTGTTCACGACGTACACACAGAGGCACCCGTCCATCGAGGACGGCCCTCCCTTCGTGCAGCCGCTGCTCAACTTCCTCTGGTTCCTGCTGCTGGCCCTGGACGGGTGAGGGCGTGGGCGTGGGCGTGGGCGTGTGTCTGTGTGTGGGTGTGGGGTGAGTGAAGGTGAGTGTGGGGAGTATGCATGGATGTGTGAGGTCTGCAGGAGCATGTGGGTGTGTAGGTGTGTGAGTGCATAGATGTGAGCATGTGCGGGAGTATGGGTGTGTGTAGGAGTGGGGTGTACATAGATGTGTGAGCGTGTGCAGGGGTCGGTGTGTGTGTATGTGGGAGTGAAGGTGTGTGTGCGAATGGAGGGTGTGGGTGTAGGGCTGTGAGTGGGTGTTGGAGTCTGCGTGGGGTGTGGGGGGCATTTCTGTCCCCCTACCCACCCCTCCCCCGTGTCCGAAGACCACAGAGCTGTCCCTGCTGTCTCGTTTCAGAGGCAAACTGACCGTGTTCACGGTGCTGTGTGAGCAGTACCAGCCGTCCCTCCGGCGGGACCCCATGTACAACGAGGTGAGGCCGAGGAGCCTCCTGTGGAGGGCGGGGCGGGCCACGGCGCGGCCCTCACGCGTGTGCGGGGCGGGCCACGGCGCGGCCCTCACGCGTGTGCGGGGCGGGCCACGGCGCGGCCCTCACGCGTGTCTCGCTCTGTCAGTACCTCGACAGGATAGGACAGCTCTTCTTCGGGGTGCCGCCCAAGCAGACGTCTTCCTACGGAGGCTTGCTAGGTAAGGCCCGCGGGGCAGGGCCGTGGAGGGGGCCCCAGAGGGCCGGCTGCCCCCGTTCCTTCCCCCTAGGAGGCAGGTCTCTTCTCAGCTGTGTGTGGTGGTGATGGGCACATGGCGTGACTGCCGTTCTCACCGCCTCCGAGTGCCGTTCAAGGCCCGTGAGGACATTCACGTCTAGCCCCTGCGCCCGCTCCCCCTGCACCTGCGCCCGCTCCCTCTGCGCCCGCTCCCCCTCCGCCTGCCCCGCCCCAGCCCCTGCGCCCGCTCCCCCTCCCCCTCCGCCTGCCCAGCCCCAGCCCCTGCGCCCGCTTCCCCTGCGCCCGCTCCCCCTGCGCCCGCTCCCCCTCCGCCCGCTCCCCCTCCGCCTGCCCTGCCTCAGCCCCTGCGCCCCCTCCCCCTGCGCCCGCTCCCCCTCCGCCCGCTCCCCCTGCGCCCGCTCCCCCTGCGCCCGCTCCGGCACCGCGCTCAGGCCCTCGCTCAGCGTGTCCTGTCGGTGAGGTGCTGGTGGCAGCGCCCTTTCAGGCTAACAGTCCGTGGGCGTCACATGCACTATTTCTTGCGGGACATGGGCCGGCTCCCGCCATTGGCTCCGTGAACATGGGTGTGCCGTGTCTGAGGCCTCCTGTGCGTGGGCGCAGGCCCTGCCGGGAGCTGCCGGGCCCACGTTGGCTCCGTGTCCCTGGCAGCTGCTGCCCCACAGCGTTCCCCCAGGTGCGGGTGGGAGCCCGGGTGTGAGGGTCTCGAGGTGGCCGACCCGCACGTCCCTTTTCACGGGCTCCGTGGCCATTCGTGTGTCCGTGCAGCCACGTTACCTTTCAGGAGGGCGTGGGAGACGGGGGACGTGGGAGGCAGGGATCAGGGGGATGGGGCCTCAGACGAGCATTTGCTTCCAGGCAATCTTCTGAGCAGCCTCATGGGCTCCTCGGAGCAGGAGGGCGAGGACAGCCAGGACGACAGCAGCCCCATCGAGCTCGACTGACGCCCGCCTGCACGGAGAGGCGCCTGTCTGGCGGCGGGTTCGAGGGCCTGGCCGCGCTCCCAGGCCGCCGTGGTGGTGTGGCGGCCGGCGTGGCCTGGCTGAGGGCGCGGGCTGAGCGTGGCCTCGGGTGACCCACAATAAAGCACAGGCTTGCGCGCCAACCTCTCCGTCCTTTGTTGGGGTTCACTCTGGGTGCCGCGGGTCACAGGCCCGGGTCGGGGGTGCACCGGCCGCCATGTGGATGCCTGTGCCAAATCCTGAGCCGTGCCCGCACGACGGCATCGCAGACGGAGCTGCCGGACGCCGCCCGGGACGCACTATTTATTTCCTGTGACGACTCTTCCCGCAGCCTCTGTTCAACCAGGTGCCCGAGCCCGAGCAGCCCTCGCTCCACCAGAGGCCCCGGTGACGCCGGGACACTTTATTTTTTCACGATTAAAGCCAGAGTTGTAGATTATTACACAGCGATCATGCATGAAGGAGCGGACCAGACCCTTCTATTGGCTGTAAAATGGAACTTAAAGGGTGTGTTCATCGTTGAATTTAAGTAAATTCTTTCTACTGGGCTTGGCTGTGCTGTCCTTCCTGGGCTGGGCGGGCCGGGCCGCTCTGGCCGTGGGAACCTCTGCGCTCGGAGGTTCAGTCGCAGCTTCGTGAGCGGCTGGGGAGTCCTTGGCGCTGCTGGGCCTGAGGTTGGAGCCCCTCCCAGCTGCACAAGGGTTCTGGGAGGGGGGGGTGCATGATCAGAACTCACGACAACTCCCTAGTCTCGCCAGGTATGAAACCTTGAACTGCACCCAATGGGGTAGGTTTGGGCAGAGCAGAATGCAAGTCTGCGACTGCTCAGGGCTGATGCTGGACCCACAGTGCGCTGGGCAGCTGTGCACAACAGGCCACACACCCCTTGGGTTCTGCTCGCCTCTCCCTCCTCGGCCCCAGGGCCCCGAGTCCCAGGCTCACAGCTGTCTGTCCTGACCACGTGGCCTGGGCCGGCAGGGAAGGGGGCTGGGACGGTGCCGTCACCGGGGAGCACAGGTGTGCTCGTGTCCACCAGAGGCCCAGCCGGCGGCTCCGTCAGCACGGGGCTGAGGCCAGGCCGGCTGTTTGCACGGGGCCTGCATTTGACCACTCCGCCCACCACTGGGATGGCCCCGCCCACCAGCCCTGTGGGCAGGTCTCCGCCCTCCCCCAGACTCCTCGTCAGGTTGTTGGTCTCCTGGGGCGCACACACGCTCACAGACACTTGTGCCTCTGGCTTCAGGGCGGGTCTGGGTTGGTTGGAGGGGGCGGTTGCAGCTGGCCCTGCCTGGTGGGGCCTCAGGGTCTCCCTCAAACCAGACGGGTGACTTGCCGCTGGCTGCAGTCCGGACCCAGTGAGTGAGGTGGCTGGCAGGGCTGCGGGAGGGGGGAGTGGGCGGAGCCGCGGCCGGTTCTAAGGAAGGACCCACGACTGCCCCTCTGGGTGGGGCACCTCAGGCAGGAAGTGTTCGCTCCCCACCGGCCATCCTGAGGACCTGCCCCGGCCGAGCTGAACGGCGACAGGCCGACGACGGCCCCTCTGCAGCACCCCGTCTGGGCTCGAGCTGGTCCGAGCTGGCCAGCAGGAGTGGGCTCAGAGACGGGGGAGGGCAGCCCTGGAGCCCCACCTGCACCTGGGTGACTCCAGGTCCTGGGCACGCCCCCTTCCTGCTGTGGGCAGGTCCTGGGCTCGGCCCACACGCGATCAAGCCACAACACGGCCCACTTTATTCCAGGCTGACGGGCTGGAGGGGAGCAGACACCCCCATGCCACGCCCTCCTCCCACACTTGTCCTCACAGACACCCTCCACGGTGGGGAACCAGGGCACCTGGGACGTCTGAGGCTGTGACTGCTCCACAGCAGCTCCCTGGGGCCCGGGGAGCTGAGCTCAGGCCTGCCTCCAAGGGGTCAGAGCAAGGTCAGGCCTGGGAGTGGGGGTCCCTGGGCAGCGCTGAGCCCTGAACTGAGCCTCTGAGGTGCCCCGGGGGCTGGGCGCTCTGTGGGGCCTCTGACCCCAGGACCCATGGCTTGAGGGCCAGGTCTGTGTCCCCCCCCTCCAGCCCCCAGACCCAATGACTCGCACAGCAGAGGCTCAATAAATACTTGTTGGGGGGGGAGATGGTGGAGAGGGGAGGGGAGTGGGGAGGGGCGGGGGAGTGGCTGCACAGGGGCCTGCAGGCCACCCGCTGCCCCACAGCCCAGCCCAGCCTCCTGGTCGGTGGGTCCTGCTGGGGGGGAGGGGGGAGGCAGGGGAGGACGGGTGGTCAGTGGGCCGGGGCGGGCAGGGAGGGGACAGCAGCATGATGGGGTCAGAGGTCATACAGGTTGGCCCACGATGAGGTTTTGAGAAACAGGTCCTGGTGGTGAGGGCTCAGGGCCCCGCGGAGCCCAGACAGCCCCGGGCCTGAGCCTGGGCCTGAGCCCGGGCCGTCCTCGGCTGGAGGCCGCTTCCTGGGTCCGCAGCCCCCGGTCCGCAGCCCCGCGGTCCGCAGCCCCGCGGCCTGCCCGGCGAGTCGAGGCCAGCGCTCTAGGGCTTGTGTTTGAAGTGAGCTTCCACTGGAAGGGAAGGCGCGGGGCTTGGTCACAGCCGTGCAGGCTGTCAATGCCCCCTGCCCGCGCCAGCCCGGCCCCGTGCCCTGCCCGGCCCTGCCCAGCCCGGCCCCGCCCCCCTCACCGGCCCCGAACCCGCCCTCACCGGCCCCGCCCCGCCCTCACCGGCCCCGCCCCGCCCTCACCGGCCCCGCCCCCACCGGCCCCGCCCCCTCACCGGCCCCGCCCCCGGCCCGCCCCCCTCACCGGCCCGCCCTCACCGGACCCTCACGGGCCCCGCCCTCACCGGCCCCGCCCCCGCCCTCACCGGCCCCGCCCCCGCCCTCACCGGCCCCGCCCCCGCCCTCACCGGCCCGCCCTCACCGGCCCCGCCCTCACCGGCCCCGCCCTCACCGGCCCGCCCTCACCGGCCCCTCACCGGCCCGCCCTCACCGGCCCCTCACCAGCCCGCCCTCACCGGCCCGCCCTCACCGGCCCGCCCTCACCGGCCCGCCCTCACCGGCCCCTCACCGGCCCGCCCTCACCGGCCCCTCACCGGCCCCGCCCTCACCGGCCCGCCCTCACCGGCCCCGCCCTCACCAGCCCCGCCCTCACCGGCCCGCCCCCCTCATCGGCCCGCCATCACCGGCCCTGCCCTGCCCGGCCCCGCCCCCCTCACCGCCCCCCTCATCGGCCCCGCCCTCACCGGCCCCGCCCTCACCGGCCCGCCCTCACCGGCCCCGCCCTCACCGGCCCCGCCCTCACCGCCCCCCTCACGGCCCGCCCTCACCGGCCCGCCCTCACCGGCCCCGCCCTCACCGGCCCCTCACCGGCCCCGCCTCACCGGCCCCGCCCTCACCGGCCCCTCACCGGCCCCGCCCTCACCGGCCCGCCCTCACCGGCCCCTCACCGGCCCCGCCCTCCCCGGCCCGCCCTCACCGCCCGCCCTCACCGGCCCGCCCTCACCGGCCCCTCACCGGCCCCGCCCTCACCGGCCCGCCCTCACCGGCTGCCCTCACCGGCCCCGCCCTCACCGGCCCGCCCTCACCGGCTGCCCTCACCGGCCCCGCCTCACCCACCCGCCCTCACCGGCCCGCCTCACCGGCCCCGCCCTCACCGGCCCGCCCTCACCGGCCCCGCCCTCACCGGCCCGCCCTCACCGGCCCCGCCCCCCTCACCGGCCCCGCCCTCACCGGCCCCGCCCTCACCGGCCCTCACCGGCCCCGCCCTCACCGGCTCCGCCCTCACCGGCCCCGCCCTCACCGGCGTACTCCTGCGGCAGCATGGGCCGGTCCACCACCTTCCGGAAGGCCTCCACCCACGCCCGCTGCTCCGGCTCCGTCTCGCAGGCCAGCAGGAACCGGCGCTCGGGCGTGACGATGGTGATGCCGTGGGGCCAGTGGTGGCCCTGGGTGGACGGCGGGAGCCCGTCCAGCACCGTGTAGCCGCACTCGCTGCTGCCGATGAAGACCTCCCCCCGGGCGAAGGCGTCCTGCGGGGGGCACAGGCTGACCGGCCGGACCGAGCCTTCCCTCCCCGCCCCGCGCCGCCCCGGGAGCGGGAGGCGCCCCGCCCGGGGCCCGGCCTACCAGCGGGTCCTTGAAGTACATGAGCCTCCGGTCGTCCATGGTGAACCAGCGCCGGCGGAAGCCCTCCGTCTGCTGCGGGCCGAGCGGCGGGTCCTGACGTGGCCCTCACCTCGCCCCGGCCCCCGTCCCCCGCCGACCACAGTCCACACCGGGCGTGGGGCTCCTCCTGCTCCCGTGGGCACTGCCAGGCCTGGCACGCGCCGCGTCCCTCCCCCCACGCCCGGCTGGCCTCCCGCCCGCCCTGCCACGCCCTCCCGGTGGCCCAGGCGGGTCTGGGCTGGGAGCCACTGGGGCCTGGGCGGGGCCTGACCTGAGGTCCCCGCCCCCGGTCGTGGGTCAGGGCGCCCCTGTCTTACAAAACATTTGGGGGCCCCGGGCCATCCACACCCTACCACCCCCTAGAAATGCACAGGCAGCTGAAGCCTCCGGAGCGTGGCTGCCTCCACCTCTACCTCAAACGCCAGCCCGCCCCCCCGACTGAGGCCTCCACCTCCACCCCAACCCCACCCCCGCTCCCCCCCCCCCCCCCCCCCCCCCCCCCCACCGAGACTGAGGCCTCGGCCTCCACCTCCACCCCAACCCCACACCCGCTCCCCCACAACTGCCGCTTTGCCCCGTCCATGACACACACACACACACACACCCGCCCCCCCGCCGCCGCCCCGACATCCCCCCAGGACTGAGGCCGCTCGGGCGCGGCCAGGCCCAGGACGCACCTTGGGCCCCGTCTTCTCCATGTAGCCCTCCTTCAGGTAGTTCCTCGTCAGCTTCGGCACCAGCTGGGGGGAAGGTCCTGCTGTCCGGCTGTCCCCCCTCCCAGCCCCCTCCCCCCGCGGCCTGGGGCAGAGCCTCGGGATAAAGGAGGGCGGCTGAGGCCACTTCGGGGGCCACAGAGGTCAGGGCACCGGTGGGGGGGTCACAGGTCCGGGTGGGCCTCTGGGTCCCGTGGGCCTTGGCCAGCCCCGCCCCCCGCCCAGGGCCTCGGCAGCCGCCACTCACGTCGGCGTCGCTGGCGCCCGGGAAGGCCACCTGCAGGTAGTGGAAGCGGGCGGCCCGCAGCGCGTTGAACCAGTCGGCCATCTCCTGGGGGCGGAGCAGGGCGGCTGCAGCCTCTGAGGCCCCACGGCCCCCCAGAGCCGCCCTCCCCGCGGCCCGGCCCAGGGGCTGGGCATCCACCCAGGAACCGGGCAGGGGTCAGGGTTCGATGCCGGTCAGGGCGCCTGCCCGGGGTGTCAGTTTGACCCCCAATGTGGGGCATGTATTGTAGGAGGCAGCCGGCCCGGGATTCTCATCACTGACGTTTCTCTCTCCCTTCCTCTCTGACATCAACAAAACCTTATTTTTAAATGTAAAAAAAGCCCGCCTCCAGCAGGCCCTTCTGGACTCACTGAGATTGGGGTGCTGGAGGGATCCCTGAAAGTTCACATG